ATTTATAACAAGATTTGCCATACATCATATGAATATATGTGGAAAATGACTTAATGTGTTCAGTGTAAAAAAAATGCTTCGACACTTTTATTTTCATCAGATTGAATTGTTTGAATGAACCATTTTGATGGATTCGAGAATTGTGATAAATCCATTTTGTGTTCAAATTCACGATTTTTTAGTTGATCTATACAACTTGACATATTCCGTATGAAGATTCGATGCGCTGCCAAAAATTTGGATGGAATAATATTTTCATAAATAGATTCAACTAACATTTCACGATTTTCGTTTATGAATTACACCAATTTCAGCGATATTCTCTATGTAAATAAGAGCCAAAGTCGATCGACAAGCAAAGACTGTTTTTTTCTCGGGATTTCAACACCCAAAACATCAAATACATTATTGTCTGCCTTAAAAAAATAAAAAAACATTTCGAAACCAACCATTTTAAAATTTTGTATTAATTTTAATTTTCTTGCAGTCAAAATGTGACAATATAAATGTTTTTAATGACAAAAAGTTGATTTAGTAGTCGATTATTGAGTGAATTGTGAGTTCAACTGGCATGCTCGTTGACATTTCATAGTTTCGTTCAGTGATTCGCCAATTTATATGAGAGACTCGTGAAGGACTCGCGAATCTTCATATAAACTCGTAAGATTCGTGCAGTTGCCTATATGTTTTGAAATGACTCGTGAGATTCGCACTGATTCACACTGATTCGTACGACACATAAGCCCCTAGGATAAAAATCTCATTTTTATACGGGACTATAGACAATGCATTCAAAATCGGAAATTACAACAAAACACCATAGCAATGAATTATTTTCGTTAATGCCAATATTTGTTTAAACAAACATAATGCGACGATTACGCGCACCAATCCAATGCGAGCACGCGACCAATACAAATGCATACCCAAAATCTCATCAAAGCATCAAATGAGTAAAACTACAATTTTATTCGTTTTAATTTCCTTTACTCTATTGAGATTGTCTTTATTAATTTACGTTACTTCTTATGAAGATGTATCAAATGTTCCCTTAACTGTAGGCTGCATTTTACCATAAATATTTTTGAGTAATTATATTTATTGTCAGTAGTTGCTGTGTGCGTTAATCAGTTTGCATTTAACGGAAAGCAAAGAAGTCATGGAATGGTCTCTTTGGGATGATCGGTAAGTATGGAGTTTCATCGCTCTCGCTATCACTTTCGGTTCGTCTGACGTTATTACGTTGAAGTTGTTTTGGATTGATCACATCGTTAATTTCATGGATGATACCATTCTTTGCCATGATATCGCACTTGGTGACGCCAGCATTCTGGATTTTTGGTCGTCTGTCGCGGTTCAATTTCAAGTCAACATCGTTGATGGTCTTGACAAGACGAACGAATGGCCACTCAGATGGAACGATTCCAGCGCAGCAAAGCACATCTAAAGGAGGGAAATTGGAAATTATCATCAATTTCTATTCGACAGCAAATCATTCAAATGTTTGTGAGTTTGATATCCTTACCATCGATTATATGTGATTTGACCAGATTTTCCAATTTCTTCGAATTGCCATCGTTGCTGAGCTCTTCGAAATAGTCCTTGACTTCGGTAAAAACGTCATTCTTGGGCACGAGAACCGTCAATGAACCGTTTTCATTTTCCAACAACGATGTCAGATTGGCCGATTCGATCAATTCAACGAACATGCTGTATTGATCGTTTGCCTTGAGCGTTTCCAACAGATTGCGACTTGGTGGCTCCAACGGACGGTCAACTTGATGCAACACTGATCCACAGCTGTCGTCATCGAAATGCACCAATCGGGCACAGTTAATAGTAGCTCGGTTGAATACGTTGCTGAATAGGCTATGCTGTGGTTGGAAACAAAAAATTATTTGACTTCTGAAAATAGTCATATATGTTCAAAGCAGTGACATACCGTTGAGTACAAATTCACGCGAACTTTATCACCAGTTTCGGTATCCAATGTGCGTTCAGTCAAGTCGCAGGTCTTGATCAATGGTTTGGCGATGTGATATTGCAAGAATTTGGTGAGTTCTTCATTTCCTTTCAATGAATCTGGATCTGATTCGATTTTCTTCACCCATTCGCTTGATTCCAAAGCAGAATCAGTAGGTGCGAACACCGACACATTTTCATATGAGTTAACGAGTTCATCGATACCGTTCAATTCGAGCAATGTCTTGAAAAGAGTCAAATTACGTGATTCAAGCATTGAGGTGAGTGGCAATGATGAATCAGTTTCCAACATAGAGCTGACAACGTGCATCACACCATTTGTAGCCATGATATCGCTTTCGACAATTTCGGATTTGCCATTGATCAAAATTGAATTGGCTGCACCACCTTCTCCAACCAAATCTTCAGCCTCGGATGGTGAATCGGATGTTGCTTTTGGTACGGCAACACGCTCCAAATTCATTCTCTCGCCCATGGTATTAACGGCACTGGTCTTAGCACCCTCAACAACAGCAACCGAACAGAATGTCATGTCCAAAATGTGATTCTTCAAAATATCTGCAGTAAAAATAGAAGAAGAAGTTAGTTTAAGGTTCCCAGAAAATGAAAAAAAAAATGCTCAGCCAACTCACTCAATGCACATCCTTTGCCTTCCTTAATCGTTCGTCGAACGTTTGGATCTAGTTTTTCGAAAGCTTTATCGGTGGGAGCAAACAATGTAAATTGCTTTTCTTTGTTTTCCAATTGTTTTGCCAAATCGGTTTTGTCCAAAACTGTTTGCAAAACAGCCATATCGTTGCGTTCACGCACCAATTCCATGAGTGATTTTGTGACTGGAATTAAAACACGATCAACCACATGAATGATTCCATTTTCAGCTTCTTGGTCAACTTTGGAGAGTGGAGCACAGTTTGCGGTGTAACGATATGGGCTATCGTCTGATTTGCGGCTGCCTGGTGGACGTGGGAAGATGTTCATACGAATTGTGGTGTTGTCATAAGCAGTGACCAGCAATTGTTCGTTTTCAATATCTTCAATGGCAATGAGTTCGGGTACGATGTGGCCCATGATGATCGATTTTGTGGTAATGCCAGATGCTTCAGCTTGACGGCGTGCTCTGGATCCAGGGAGAACAACAAGATTCTGCAAAAGATTTAAATGAATATAATTGAAAATTTGTTCGTAATCTATCGAAGTCGGGATTTTTCATTTCAATTGAGATTTGTTCATACCGATTCCAATAGTTGTTCAGCGAATTCAGTGAATGTGGCATCGGTTGGCAAGAAGAGTGTGATATTCTTGCGGAGTTCATTATCGATATCGTTCTTTTGGGCACTACGAATAAATTCACGTCCATTCAATCGTTCGGATGTTTCCATCAACGAGCGTAGGTGAAGCTCTTCACATGGCATAAAGATGTTTGCTGATTGCGAATTCTTCTTGCGCCCAAAGCCACGGCAACATGCTTGAGTCACAGACGTTGTCTTTTTGCGACCATTTTCATCGACACTGCAAAAAGGAAAACGAACCATTTTCAATTAATACTAAATTCAAAATGAAATTTGTAACAAACGTCAACTTGTTGTTTGCACATAACAAAGGAACTTCACGATTTCATTTACTTACACAGTCTTGCAAGTGCGTTTGTTGGTCTTTTCAACGCATGTGTTGAAACTGAAGTGGAATCCGCCATTAATTGTTGTCGATGTTGATTCACGAACTTCACTTTCCTCCTCCTCCTTTTCGCTCGATGAGGCTGGTGAATTCCAATCGCTAAGTTCTTCTTTACGTTCGGTGCACACATTTGGTCTGCGAAAAGCCAAACAAAAAGAAAACAAATTCATAAATTCGGTAAACTTGGTATCAGTTTCACAAAATCGCAAAATAATTGTTTGTTTTCATATGCGTCACATGCTATGGTTAAAATGATGTAACAGCTGTTTTGCCCGACTTTATTATGCAAAATTATACTCAAGAGAAAAAAAAAATACGATCGAATTTCGTTCCATTTCTTCGGAAAGTTGTGCACACCGCTAGAGATTTCGCCATCCAAAGTGCGAAAACAATGCCCAAAACTCATGGGAGTTCGATGATCTTGAATGTAACGAAGATACAATCAAACAGACAAAAGATTGTAATTTGCTCTCTTCTCACGAGCAATTTCGAATTTTCTTCAAGATGAAGCAAATGGAAAAAAATGAAAAAAGAAATGGTATCGACATAAGAGGCAACGTCGCGCAGCAGCGTCGAATTTTAATAGCATAACGGCGCACCATTACCGTGCTAATTCATCGTATAAACACAATTACAGCTCAAATCGCATTCAGTCAGTTTGTCTGGCAATGAACGCAAACAAAGTGAAAATGATTTTATGATTTCACCTGCGCTCACGCTGAAACGAAAAATACAAACCACACTCTACCGTTGTCAATACGTGCGATAAATACGTTTGTGGTTTATAGTTTTTTTTTTAGCTTTACAAATTTAATGTACATTGTACAACAATGCAAAAGGTGCACAATCGCTCTGAGATCTGTCAATCTGGAATGTGCTAATTCACGGAACGTGCATCAACCGTGAACCGTTAGGACATTTAATGTTGAGATTTATGCTATTTTAAGTTCCATTAGCCAATATACAAGATATGTGTCGTATTCTAGAAGATGTTCTTGTCTATCAATCTCCCTATATCCATTCCAAATGATACTTATCTGAATGGGTTTTATTTTCTCGCTTAAAGAACAAAAAATACGTTCTAAGAACTCATTTAATTGGTTACCCTGCTGTTTTACCGTTCAACAGAACAAACCATTCAGGAGAACATTCAACTTCTAGAAAGTTCATAGAAAAAAACACACAATAAAACCGGTTTCGAATTAACAAATTAAAGAAAAATCGTCTTATCGCATCTTCGAGATTGAAATTCGGTTGTTTTATTAATTTCAAATGCACTTTCGTAATGGCGATGATTCATTAGTGCTTTGCGTGACTCACATCAGTCATTGCCCTGATTTCACTGCAGCTATTGTTTGGTTGTTGTTTCTCTTTCTTCGTTCCATTCGTAGAAGAAGATAAACAAATCGATATTTCTCCAAAAACTTTCGAAAAAAGTATTCAAATTCGGTTTCTATTTATATTGAACTTCGAACACGCAGAGACACTTAATGGGATTATCTTCTTTCACTTGGCCGTCGACAAAGCGCATTTCACTTGCCATATGAAAAAATCATATGATCGGAAAGACCACGGCGATTTCTTTTTGAAATCCATTTTTATTTTTTCCACAAAAACCATAACAAATTGATTTTTTCATGAACAAAAAAATGAACAACCATGTATTCGAGACCTTTTTAAATCGTTTGGTGTCGACGACACCGTGTCGTCAACGCCTGCATCAAATTGATTTATGCGCGTTCAAGAAATGTCTAGTGAACTGGTTGCCTACTTATCGAGAGAGAGATAGAGAGAGAAAAATTAAAGATTTGGAGCCACCTTTCACTGACGTATTGGCTCAGAATCGCGTAAAAATATCGCGCAACGGTGCAATTTTTTTCCCGCATCAAATTTCACCTGAACACAAAACGAATATAACCAAAACACACCATCGCTTGCCACCGATTCGTATTATACAGCGATATTTATCTTCCTCATTCACATTGCTCACCGAATTTCGTTCGTCTTATTTTCATTGTTTTCGATCGCGTTTTTTTTATGTTGTTGTTCATAAATATTTACATAAATTATTCGAGTGTTCACACTAATTTTCGTAATTTTCTCTCCCGGCTTTTTGGGGTTCTGTATGTTAATAGCAAACAAAAAAAAGCGCATACTAAATCTGTGGCTGTCTGTAAAAGTGTGCATTCATACGTGTGCTTCTCGATATGGCCGATCGTTTGCATGGAACCGGGCAAACTGTAATTGATTAATTGCTTTAGCTAATTTTATTAATAAATTAACCACTCGTGCCATAAAAGTGATTGTAGAGCAACGAAGATTTTTTTCTTCAAGCAAAAACATGCCGTTTTTTGCGATCCCGGCTACAATTAATTTAATAAAGAATTATCAAGATTTCGCATCTCTTTAACCTCTACAAATGTTTTTTTTGCTGTCTTTTTTTTTCAGTTTATGCTGATGCGCTGATAATTTGATGTGAGCAAAAATAAAACGACTGTCTTTGGCAGAATGATTGTTGCCATTTCTTTTTGCAACGAACTTAAAAAAAAAACCTCACCGTTGCTTTTTTCAACTGTATGGAAATCGAGGTGATTTTAAATTCAAAATAAACACGATTCCGTTGCTGTTTATCTTCTCTCTTTTTTGCGTTCGAACGCATTGTTTGGAATTTTTCAACGTATTCAATGTAAACAAAATATTCAATCAAAAACATTGCCAATCGTTTGCGGTTTGCGAGGTTTGACTCACATGTTACAGGCCTTTGATTCGATTAAAACAAAGGGAATTTCGAATGGAAGTCGCTAATTTATTTAAACAGCCGAAATTTTACACATTACGGAATTTTCAATTAGCCAGTGAGCTACGTTGAAGTTCAAGGTTGGCTAGTAATCGCTATTCAATTATATTTTTTAACTTTGAACCGAGTATCGCATGCCATATTCAGCCTCTGTTTAATTAAATTAGTTAATTGAATTTTATTAAATGAACACTTATTTAAATGGATTAATGTGCTTCCTACATGTTTGTATAGACTAATAGTAACTGGCAGTAAGCATCGAGCTATTTTTTCAATTATCACGGTATCACAAGTGATCGACACTTGCATGCACTAATCATGCACATAAATTATTATTTATCACTAAATTAAGAACCAAATGCAAAGTTAATAGCTATCAATCAGTCGTTTTTCCGATGAATTCGCATTTTATTTTTCCATTTGTTGTGACGGATTGATTCTTGTTATCTTGAAAGTGATACTGAAATTCATAGAGATGTTTATTACATACTCCATTGCTCTGTTGATAAACCACAACAGAAAAAAAGCAATGATATCAATAAACGAGCTGTTGCCCGATGAAGCACAGGGTTTCTACAGAAAAGTAGTTTTCTTTAATCCAAATAAAGACAAAAGCAAACGAAGCACATTCAATAATTTAAACATATAAATGATGTTAGCTTTTTATTTCGCTGATGCGAATCGTGTTTTCAGGGCGGCTCTTTGTCATTGATCTTTCTTTTTAACTGAACACTTTATTCAACATCAACTTTTTCTCATTTTATTGTTCTAAATTCAATTTGGATTTGATATGCTTAATCCAAAATCATTTTCCATAAAAAGCCGAACTTGCGAAATCTTCAAATTCGGGAACCACCGTAGTCTGACCTAAATTGATTAGAATAAATAAAATTAAGCAACGTTCTTTAATTGAAATTATGGCTGAATTTGGTTCCTAATGACGCGAATTTCGTAACAAACGAAAATTAGCGACGATAAACGTGCCCGTCGCTAAACGTTTCAATTCAGAACTTTGAAATGAGATAAAGGCGATGGTGACTGAAGTATTTAATTCAAAAGAAAGATCAAATCGAATGACAAAGAGCCGCCCTGACAGCACGATTCGCATCAGTGAAATGAACAGCCAGCATCATTTATATGTTTAAAGTATTGAATGTACTTCGTTTATCGTATGTTGATTGTTTCATTTGTGCGAAATTAAAGAGAATCGGAACAGAGTTTGAAATTATTGACTCGAATGACCAATGAATGTGAAAACATATAACAATAGATCGCTTGCATGTTATGGATCGCACGGATCGCACTATAACAATAGATTTGCTCGATTACGTTCGATCAATGCTCGTGTATTCAGCATTTATATTAGAGAATTATCTGTGGTACGTGGCAACTGCATCGACATAACAATGATGAATAGAAGCGAATAATCAACAGATTCCTAATTAAAATCACGTTTTCTACCCATTATTATTGTGATTGAGTTTTGTCGCGTTATGTGTCTGCAATATCACCGACGGCATTCTTCAATGAGAGAGTATAGCAGAATGTATCAGTGTTTCATTGTTTTGCTGGTGTTTCAACACAAAACGATAATATACGCAGTGCAAAAGTCCATTAACTAATGGACTGTTGAACAGAAATAAACAGTAAAACACAGTTTAAGAATACCGCCTTGTGATTGATAAGTATTTGATGACACCGTTGTGTCATTTTCGCTTGGCGCAGCGCAAAAAAACAAAAACAAAACGATCATCCGTTGAATAAATATATTCGAAAGGAACGACATAATGTAAAAATGGTTTGATTGAAAAGGTTATTCGAACATTCGCAACCATCGGTCGCAAACAAATGAAGCGAGAGAGAAAAAAAACACTCAAGCAAAATTACCACTCGACTATTTGCAATTTCTAATCTGTTTCGAGTAGGTTTTGTCGTATTTCAAACGAAAAAAAAAACACATCGCAAAAAAAGCACCTTCGATGTGAGTTGCTTGTTGTTGGGAAATGAATGCGATGTGAAAATTTTCTATTTCCATTGTTAGTCAAATTGTTATAGCAAAGAAAAAAGTAGCAGCAGCAGCAGTAGCAAACTATAGAGAAAAAAATGAAGACGTTTCGATACGGAGGCGATTCTTTTCACTTATTGTTTTGTCGTAACGTAAATACTATTATCGCTGCAAATCACACGTTTTCCATTGAATTATGCGATCCAGACATTAACATACATGGACAATTAATCAAATTCAGTAGCGAGGCTGCAAACAATCCAAACACTATGATAAATCAACGACGATTCTTCAATCTTGTGTCTCTGTTTATTATTATTATTTTTAAAATGTGAATGGTGATATCGAATTGAAATTTATTGAAAAACAATTGAACAGTGTGTATTTCTTCTCTTTCAATTGATGACTCAATTCTCAGTGGCAATTGAATTGAAATATGACCGTCAAACATGTCATGCACTGATATAGTCATGGGTATTTTTTTTTTCATATTTATGTGCTAATTACCGATGCAAACGCGCTAATAAAATGCACTTGAATAGAGAAATGACAAGATGCAAAATGTGTCTGCAGTGTTGTTATTAGGAATCAAGAGCACAAAGGATTATTGAGCTTTGTTTAATCATGCATAGTCAAGCTTATGCTTATTCTTTGAATTGATTATTCGGTGGATAATGTAACCACTGGCCAATTTTTGATTACATTTGCTTATATGCTTCTATGTAAAAGAGAGCTAGTAAGATTAGTGCATGAGGAAGTCATTAAAACGCAATTTGATAAAATGACCACAGCTGTTAATCACCAACTAATTAAGGGGGAATTAACTACTAATGAACTGTTTATGAATTCAAGTGGCTGCACTAGAAAAGTTTCCACAGCAAGAAAAAAAAAACAACCAATAAATAAGAACTTACCCTCGCCACCATGGGATCGATTGTGGAACACCAAAACCTGGGAAGCCCAAATTGAAGACGTTAAAGAATGGACTGAAGAATGGATCGATTGGCCGATTGAACGGAACACCCGAATCACTACCGCTTCCGATGCTTGGCTTTGAATTGCCAATTGTTCCAGAGACAACGTCCAAATCTGTTTAAAATTGAAGGTCAAAATTCCGTGTATTATTCTATTTATTCGATATATATAAATACTCTTTTTAAATTATTATTCAAATAACCATAGTCATGTTTGGCATACTAATTGATGTAAAAAAAATCCATACAAACCTAATGGCGACTCAGAACTGTCTTTATCTTCTTCGCTACTGTCGACATCTTCTCGTCGTGTGGCCGTTCTTGTCGGATACGCGTTTCGGCGTCCAAATAATCCAAAATGATCTTCTGGCTCGCGCCAGCCGTAATTCAAATCATGACGCTCATCTCTATTGAAAAGAACAAATTAAACAAGCGTACCCATTGAATTAGAAACTATTTTCCGTCATTTGGTTCTGCTTTTTTTGTTCTTGTTGTTGTTCACCCAAACAAAAATCAAGCACGCACTACTTTGTCTGCGAATGATTGCATTTATTTGGATTGCGTGAAAAGATCGACGAGGAAATAGAACGCAAAAAAAGCAGATCTAGTTAATTCACCAAAAACGCTTGCAATTGATGCTCGGCTTTTGAAACATGGAATAAATTCGACCGACAATAACAGAAAGATTGTATACATTGTTGTCATTATTTTTTTTTGCAGAGATCGATGTTTCATTGAGTATCCGTGCTAAACTGTTGAAAACACTCATAAAAAGCTGTAGCAACACCGTTATTTGTTCACTTTGTAGTTTTGCGTTTTGTTCTGTGTGTGTCTCTCGTTCCGGTGACCTGGCCAGATTTTGACCACTCTTTGAACTGGCTCGGTGTATGTTTAAGCCTGTTTATTTTTTGTGAAAACTGTTATATTCCATAGAAATGTAACTTTTGAATAATCATATGGCTTTCATATTCGGTTTTGTTTACATTCAGTCTGAAAAAATTTCCGCTTACATTTACTAAAAGCTTGGGTCAACACAAACAATTTCACCGCGAGACATTTTCTTGGGATGTGCAGCGAAATCATATGGTGTGTAAAACCGTATGTGTTATTTGTATTGTTGCTTTGTGGAAAATAAACTTGAAATTCAACGGAAAAATGCAAATCAAAGCGTTAAATATGCATGGATATGTATTCGAAGAAGAGGAACAATGGAGAAGCCCAAAAAAGGCCAATGCTTTTTGTCATTCGGAATACGTTTTCGGATGCATATTCAATTCAACTGGTGTGTTATTATTGGCTAGGTGATGATGACGAATTGTCTTGCTCAAACACACAATGGCAAAGGGTTTTTTTTCTCTCTCTATAGAACCTAAGGCTGTGTTGTGATCGTAATTCAAAACAAAAGTGAACGTTTGAACATTCATCCAGTGTAAAAGTGAGTTTCGGGGATACAATGGAAGAAGCGGACGTGTGATGATGAAAAGAGAATCTTTTACGTTGTCGTTGATGTCATTTTTTTTTATATTTTGAATGAAGTGACAGAAACGAAGTGCCATCGACAGAGCCAAGCCCAAAGTCAATAAAAACAGCGACCCTAAACATCACACACACACACACCTACCTTCTAGCCTATTCAAACGATCAATGTTTTATTCAATAAAATGTATATGATTTAGTTTGGAGCAGGGAAAAAATCACATCGACGACATCCGAGCAAATGAACTGAATGAATTGTTCCAAATACAATAATAATTCTAGAATCATCGCATTTAATTGTAAATTGGTGACTGCGCAGTAGAGAATGTTTCACATGTAAATTTGTTCGATGGGAGTTTTTCTTGATATTTCCTCGAATGTTTTTTTTTTGGTTTCTTTTATTCTCACCAAAAATTATGAATTACGTGCAAATTCACCTTCAAAATGAACCGAACGAGCCAAAATTTATGGTTACAAGTTCATAAAATATGTAGTAATGTTTTGGCTTGACCTTTGTTGTACATTCGGTGTTTGTCGTTAATCAGATCAAATTGAGCGACTAAGGAGAGCGACTGCTAGTAACAAAGAAGCTGATTATTTTCGGACCCATAAAACTGCTGACCAGAACAATTTAAGCGAGATGATAACAAAATAGGCAAGCTTTTAAATTATCACATTGAAATTATTGCCGTTGCAAAAAAAACGTACTATTTTCAGAAGGAGAATAAACGTGCTCGCTTGCGTCTGGTTTCAAGAAAGTTCCACCGATTTCGGCTTATCGTATGCAAACGTATTTCGAGGCGATTTTTAAAACACTCTACTATTTGCGCATCACAGCTAAGTGTTTTGCGCAAAGCGCTAACTATATACACAACATCATACAATTTGGAAATCAAACCCATTAGCCCGTTTGAGTATCGTGTATCGTGACGCTGAAATTCATTTTGTGGAACGGAAGAACTTTATTTATGCCATAGAGTAACCACATTACGGCTAATAAAGATTTTAATCGTACTTCAACACTTCTTCGCACACAGTTCTATACACACAGTTGCACACATCAATGTTGGCCGATTCTTCTTCGTTTTTTTCCTTTCCTGCAGCCATTTTGACTTTGGACTATTGATTTCATTGTGGCCACTTCATGCATACTTGATTTTTCTGTTGAAATTCACTGATGTGACAAATACGCCATTTGTTAAATGTAAATTTTTTCTGTTTCGTGTGCAAAACTCATAAACAAGACCACTTTTCAATTGATAGACTGGCTAATTTTGGTGAAAGAAATGACGTAAATGGTTGAATAGCAAAAATGGTGACAATAAAAGAATAACGATCGTTTGGATCAAGCGAGGTGAAATCATCAGGCGTTGAGCATTGCACAGATTTGACTCTTCTTCGTATTTCGATACAGAATACTAAATTGCTAGTGTAATAAAAACAGGGACTTTATAAAAATAAGTTTTCGAAAGTGATTGGAATAATAAGCATGAAATCTTGCGAATTTATTTTTACATTTCTTGTTTCGCTTAAGTAATCAAGATGACACACAGACCCCATGACATTTCATTTCTTCGACAGAACATGTTGCACGTAAGTTCAAAGTGCGAAAAATAATGACAACAATTTACTGAACTGAAAACCGACCAGTCCCGACCGTTAAGACCACTAGTTGCAAAGAGAAAAAAAATTGCCATAAACAGTTTATACTTACTCGAACTCCAATCCAAATGCCGAACAGACCAATAAAGTGACCGCTAGAAATGCTAAAATGCGCCTCATTTTCCACTAATTTGCATGAAACACAAACCTTATGCAGAATTGTCTCAAATGGAAAATTCCCACGAAAAAAAAATCTATCGCTTTCTCAATACGCTCTTTTGTTGCTGTTGTTGTTTCTCCGAAAACTGTTGACGGAAATCGAAAATTTCAACAATTAGTCTTCAATGTGTATTCACTATTTGTATTTTCCTTCTTTTCATTCAATTTCTCTGGATGAACGATTTAATGTATGTAATGATGTATGTTGGCCTCTTTTTCATTAACTGATAGATACGATATATATATATATTTTTTTTGTACTTGCACTTGAAAGAAGCAATAAGAGGAAACTATTGTTACAAAAGTCGAAACCTCACAATTTCTCTATTCGTTGAATCGATTCTCAGGTAGGGGAAAAAAAATTATATGTAGTTTAACAAAAATAATAACCTTTTTGTGTTTTTGTTATGATATTCTCTTTTCTTTCTTCGCTTAGTTTTATTTTTCGTTTACGTTTTAGGCACAGTGATGTTAGTCGCTGTACGTCGTTCTGTTCGCTTTCAATGTTAAACAAATACTGAACTATTGAACGCATTGAGCCGGTCGTATTTATACGAACACGACGAGCGCTGACGATTTTTCAATGCACAATCTCTCTTCATGACGGTTTACGTACGATCTCTTTCGTGAGTTGGTTTTGTTTGGATGAGCACTTCTGTGTGCCGTTGTATTGGTTGAGAATGACTTTGTATTCCCTTATGATTGTATATTGTGTGTGTATACGATACAAAACATATGATTGTATATTTGTTGTGGACGTATATATTTCTTACGCGTAACAAGTTCATGCCAGCTGATTGTTTTTCACTCATTTTAATAGCCGAAATTTCGGAGCCTTTCTGTACCAATCTCCTTATTATTTGTGAGTCATTAGAATTTAGTCGTAAACAAAAAAAAACAGACTTAATGAATGCAATTGGATTCGTAGAGAAACTTCTTATCACTTCCCTGCTTTATTCCACAGGATGAGAGAATAATCTAGAACATTGTGGCAGGCATGTTTACTTCGCTTTGACTTTCTCTTTTTTTCTACGACATTTTTCGTATCACTTGAAACCCAAGCATTTCGTTCAATAATGCCTCAATTGGTGATAGTATTTCTGAGAATTAAAGAGAAAAATAAAATTTCCCACTTCCACAATGTGATTATGCATTTTTGTTGCTTTGACTTTCTTTTGTAGTGAGACACAAACTGTACGAACCAGATGATCGAACTAATTCAGTGTCATCGATTGACATTAATAAACATTCATGTCATTCTCATTTTTGTTATTCTGACTTTTTTCTTCTTCTGAGACTATTTTGCTTTAATTGTATGCCATTTTTGTCCTAAGTGACAACACTTTTTTGCGATCTCCTCCAGTCAAAAGTGGTTTGGTAATTAAATATTTATTTGACAAGTGTAAAAAACCGAAACGTTCAAAAATAAATAAAGAAACATATTGCCAATAATCTAGAATGCCATGAACTCAGCAAGACAGTGCTGGTTGATACGAACCAGTGGTTGAAAATTGCTCTATACCCATTAACAGACACATTTCCATATAAATAGCTCTATTTTGGACTTTAATCAGTCACTTGTTCTGCAAATGAATCAGTCGCCATTGTGTTTGATCTGATAATGATAAACTTTATTTCGCAATAAAAACAGTGCTTAGTATCGATGACTAATTTTTCTTCTTAAATTATGCAATATTTGAACCGTTTATCCAGATACGGATGAAAATTGTGAGAAAGGAACATTTCGCTGAAATGATCTTTATGATTTGTTTTTAAAAACAAAATGTGTGGCATGAATGTTTTAGATTTTAATCGATAGATCAAACGGTGAAGACATTTTTCGATGACGCTCTTCCGCTGGTTTGTGCGCTTCGCTGCGTTTCGGCGTGCACCTCAAACGGGATCGCTTGATTCAACGTCGAAGTCAAGCTCTGTCTGATGCTTGAACCGATCGATTTGAGCCGTTCCTTATCTTGATGTGTCGTCCAAATGGCCAATTTGATGCCGTAGTTACGAACGTTCAACACCACACCGCAAATATCTTCGGCATACTCGTAGTATTCACCAATGAGAAACAGCAATATATCCAGCCAAATTTCATTGATATCGATATTTCGACATTTTGACGTATTGATGACAGTCAGCCGACCACCTTTCACATTTTGCGGTGCCTCCCACATAGGACGAATGCCATTTTTGAAGAACGAAAAATCAACGCCATTCAACAGCTCCGATGGTTGTGCCAAATGATTGAAAAAACTCCAAAAGTCTTCGACTGTGGTAACTGTGTGGATTTGATGCTGACACGCTTCCCAGTCCTTGTTCTTTTCGGGCAAATAGTACCAAAGTGCCCATTTGGAATTCAGTGGGTGCTTCAGTGGCAAATTATTGTCCGGCGAATTGCTCACGGGCAAATTATTCGCTGGTAAATGTTCGCTCACAGGTTGATTGCTCGCTGATTGGTTGTTCACTGGTTGCTTGCTCACTGGTTGATCGCTCACTGGTACGCTCTTCACTGACAATTTATTCACCGGCATGCGGTTTGACGGTACCGCTTTGCAATTGTGATTTTCATCACGTTTTTTGTTGCGATTTGACTTTGGCATTTTGCTGATGCAATCTATCGGAAAAAAAGAATTTTTTTCGGTAATATCCGTTGTGAATGCACGTTTAAGTAAATGATTCGGGAGAAATAAACTAAACATTTCCAAATGACAATAACGCCTACTTAGCATGCGTATATTCTAATATTTTTCATAGACAAGCACATTGCACAACATTGCCTCACCTCTTTCGCTGTTTTCTCGAAGAAAAAAAAATCCGCTTCCAAAGGTTATGAAATTAGTTTATAAAAAATTTCTATTTTTTGAAATCGTTATGTAGTTTGTTCAAAATATAAACGATTTGCAATAGTTTTAATTAAAAGTTGATAACTCCAATTGATCTCGATGAACTTATCGTTTCGTTTATCTCATGGATATTGCTGAGCTAACTGAAAATTTTGTTTACACTGCACACGGTGATAAATGTCAAAACCACTCGCCGCTATTTGAAACCAATCGTGTGACGAACGATGGTATCACTCTGCCATCTCGTGAGACAAGTAAACAATCAACGCAATCAGATGTCGAGTGCAATCACATGGACATTTTTGTTTTGTTTCAAAAACATTTTCATTCTTTCCAAAACGAAAACACGGTTTTATCCTTTAAAATGGTTTATTTTTTCAAATTATACGGGTCGTTTTTATTTTTTTATGCTTTTAAATTGTTCTAACTAAACAATTGTTGATATTTCTTATTCAAAAGGCCCAATTTGGGTAAATCATTTTGGGTTATTTCCATAAAATCGAACGCAATGCCAATATTTCTGTGTTTTACACTGTCAACAATTGGAAAATTATGGCGTCGGCTAAAATGTGTGAGGATTGTATATTTTGCATTCATTTTTCTACTCTGTTCGATGGCTTGTGACAAGGTGCTGTGTCTATTTTGTTCGGCTTTATGACTAAACTCATCGGGATATGTGGCCTCATGAATTAGCAACGTTGAATTCCGTCCAAGATTGATTAAGTCATCACAAGGTGGTGTATCGCTGCTAAATGTTAATCTAAATGGGTCTCGTTGGCCAATGCTTAAAGTAAGAGCATGTGATAGGTTAAAATGCGGTACTCGACATGTTCGAAGCATTTTAATGCCTAGTTTTTGGCACATCGTAGCCGATAATCCGTCCGTTGTCTAATGTCAAAGATAAGAAAGTTCAATTCTTATATGAAGATTACTATGCAACATTATATTTTCTGAAAGCAACCAACCAAATTCCCATTGTCAATGAGATAAAGATCATCATGTATCGCCTCAATGTTGTTGTCATAAAAGAAGAGCCATGACTTTATATCTGCTTTTGAAGAGAGTACCAGTAATGGAGAACGATCCGAAGGCATATATTTGCTACGCATTCGCATTAGTTCGACCAAACCGCCATGGTGATCGTAGTGTAAATGTGATATAAATACGGCTTTGATTTTCTTGATGATTTGAGGAGCGCTTTTTCCATAGAGACGATGAATCTGACTGCATGTTCCCTCACCACAATCAATCAACATCGATTCGTTGCGTCTGTAAAATGAAATGGCTACAGAAATGACATGGATTCCGTTATGAGAATTAAAGATCATTGGCACTCACGTTGTGTGAAGAAGAATCGATGTATTGTTCCGTGTTGATGATGCCTTAGCTGAAACCGTGCCAAAAAACACGACCTTTGGGAACATCTTCATGTGTGCGATATCAAGACTCTGCTGAAAGTTGATGCAGCTCATATCTTCATCATTTTTAGTAGCAGTCCTTTTCATTGATCCCTTTAGATTATACACTGAACAAAACTTTGTATCACTTTCATCTTTATTTTGCAATCGACTCAAATCACACAATGTTCGTGAAGCATCCAAAGGCATCCTATAATTTATGAATGAAAAATTTATCAATATGTTGCCATAAAATATGTCTATGCCAAAATAATCCAACATTTACTTCAACGGTGGGTGAACTTTTTCATCAATTTGATTCAACTTCATTTGCAATTCGTACACCGATCTCAGACGAGAACATCTGCAAAATGAAATATTGTAAACGGTTTTTCAAAATGAATAAATGAGTTATTGTGTCATACGTACTCATTGCTCTCGTTTAAATAAACGTGTTTCTTTGCAATGAGCCTAGACGCTAGACTTTTATATTCTCGCATGTTGACCACATGTTCAGGGGAAAAATGTACAACGATATTGAAAGGCTTTTCAAGGTATCGTTGGTGCTGTTTCTCAAGAAAAGTCTTCAGATGTTCCATGGTAGGCAAATCAAGAACTGGAATGAAATGGAATCTTTAGAGATTATCCTTCGAATTACATCACCTGAAATAAAATCCATACAATATAACAAACAGGTGGTGTAACTTACTCATAAATCGTGCGCTAGGTTCAAATTCACCTTCCGAATCTGCCTTTACCTCACCCACAAATGTCAGTACTTCGTTAGTGTCTCTGAGTCGGAGTTTCTGCTTCAATGCCGCACAAACTTCTGTCGATATGAATTCAACGCGTAATGTGTCATCTTCGAAAAAATCCCTTAAATTGCAGTCAATCGGCTTGAAATCCAATTCACTCATAATTGACAGGCAAAGAACTCTTTTCAAACTCTTGTACAGTTGCTTTGGACCGTGAAACATTGGCAGCCATCCTTGTGAACTGTGTATCACCCGATTTATGCATGAAACGCCTCCGATACAATTCCATTTGGTTTGTGTAACAAAAATATGCTTTATTCGAGAAATTTTCCGCTCTTGATCAGCGAACAGTCTCTGACAGTCTTCACCACAATTGAAAAGGTATTTATCCTGATTGGAAACAGATAGCGAAACGGATGCCGATTCTCCAGGAGCTCCCAAACCAATAATATTCAATGCAATTGCTTTCGGTGGGTTTCTAGATGACTTTACATCATTCACAAACTCTCGGTAAAAATTAGTTATTTTAATACATCGATTTATCTTACTAAAAAGCCGCATTGCTGCACATTCACAACATGTAAACAATGATTTTGGCATGCAATCTGACACTTAATGAAATGTAGGTGAAATGTCAAATTGTTTGGTTATGTTTGCATTTGCCTGATTGTTTCGTTAAAATCAAAAGAAATAGAAAAATGAAACTCGATTGATTCTCATTTGTCTTGTTTTGGTTTATTTTTCCATGTTATTGCAATGTGTTTCGTACATCGTACTTTTGATCACCTTACTTTTTAAATTGTCTATTAAAAAAATGTAAATAGATTCTCTTCTCTCTGTTCCTCTCTCTCTCTCTCTGTCCATCCATCTGTACTTCGATGCTCTTCGTCACTTAAGAAATAAATTTTTCTTCTTCCTTTTATTCCGAAAATAATAATAATAATAATAATCAATGGTAAATTTTCTTTTAAATTTGGCCAACAAAATATGTCGATGACTGTGTAGCTAACGAAATTCATATCACACCAGTTGTTATTCCTTTCTGCTAAGTTGCCATTTCATTGAACCAATTAGACGGTTGATTGAGAAAATATTTTTTGTTTGGATTTGTATTTGAGTATCTAGCCGAGTGCAAGTTTTTTTTTTATTTATTTTGAGTGTTTTCTACTGTTTTACACGTGATCATGTAGAAGATATTCATTCAATTTGACATGCAAATTGAATCATCTTAATCACGCATGTTTTTCAATTGCTTTCTCAAAGATCTTGCACTCGGGTGTATTGTTTTTGTTTGCTTAAAAAAAGATGAAAAAATGACGTTGACTTATTAATTATCGAGACGCCACTCTTTTTTATTGAAGAGGGTGTAATGATCGACTTTATTTCGGTATATTTATATCGATATTGATGGTTTCGGAGTTTTGAGTGTATCAAATGGCTATGATGTCTTTGTTTAACCGCGTTTCGATATCAACTCGACAAATTGGGCAGTGTTTGTTGGTGACCAGCCATTGATCAACACAATCCATGTGAAAGAGATGCATGCACGGCAGCCTCCTCACATCATTCTCGATTTCGAACAACGACAAACAAATCGTACACTTTTCACCGCCATCATCGTCATCCAGCTCACTCTGACGACGCACACGTTTGTACTTGTGCGGCAATGTATTACGTTCGATTGTTTCCTGTGGCATAGAATTTTAACATAGAGATTTAATTGAGACTTTGAACATAATTTGCAATGTAATTTCATGACAATTACCCTTGTTGCGCCACGCATACACCGCTGCAATTGTATATCGCTTTCTTCAATCACACGCACGAATTGGCCAAATGTACGCAAACGATGATTTGCATATATCGGATGAGATGGATGAATTGCTGATGGCACATACTCTCCAGAACGACGCAACTGTAAAAGAAACATTCAGATGGAATTCGATTAATGCAAAATGTTCAAAATTATCCATGCAACGGTAATGTGGCAGTTCACAAGAGGATTGGATTGATGTTTGGACAAATGACCACTAACCCCAATGCTGACATGAACTTGATGAGGAGGTGGCGAGGCTGTGTCTGTCGGATAATGATGATACATATGGTGGTGTACATGTTGATGGTTCGGATCATTGCGGCTGTAAAATATGAAAATTTAGGGAAAATCTCCACGAAAAGAAAAAAAAAATACCCAAAGTGATTAATCTTAAATAGTGTACATACCGCATTGCAATCAATGGTGGTGGATTCTCCGAGTTCTGTTGGAATAAAAAGTAACCTTAGTATTAGCAAATCTCTTTTTTTAAAATCTTTTATCTAATCTGTTACTCACCATATTCAAACCGCAAACATATTGTCTGAGGCGTCGGTGTGGATGGCCAATTGGATGTTGTTGATCGCATTGCGTACAGTAACCATTGTTGGAAATGGATGATGCACCTCGACTCGGATAACTTCCAAATGAACTTGGCTGTGCTGTATCATTTGTTGTTCCCGTTCCGCTCATACTGTTCATCATGTGGCGTCGATGGATTTCTTGATTATTTTGCTGACGATACCTTTATTCAAAGGGATGAATTAATCTTGATTAAAAATGTACGACACACAATAGATATATGTAAATCTCGCTTACCAAAGAGATTCGTGCGGTGCATAAGCTGGACGCAAATAACCGTTTCCATTTTGAAGCGACGAATGATAATTGGCTATGCTACCGGGCATATTGTGATAACCAGACATGGATAGACGTCGATAGTACGGACAACGTGAGGCGGATTGATGGCGTGTCGCATGTGAGTTCATTGCCGAATTATTTGGCGGATTGAACGACACTGCATCATTAGCTTGTGTTGTATCCTGAACAACATTTGTGTCGACATTTGCATTGGGCTGAACGCTTGGATCATATAGAAGAACATCAGGCGAAATTGGGGCTTGTCTCGGTTCAATGTTCACAACTGGACGAGTTTCTTGATGAACGAATACGGGGTCTGTATTACTTGACGATGCAGCTGCATCACTGAACGAAGCTGGATTTGGATTTAGATTTTCTGGACGATACCAATGGAAATCACTTCGCAAACGATGATTTGGACACCGACTTGTTCGATGTGACATATCACTTCGACTCGGTTCCTCATTTGGTTGCCCGCTATTGTTGTTTGCGGTTGCATCGTTCTGATTTCGACTGGACTGTGCTCTGCAAATGTTGAAAAACAAGTTATTTAAAAATTCATTCAAACTTCCATTGTTCATTTCATATTTACCTGTCGCTCCGTTGTTCGCCATGGAAATTGGGTGATCGGATGCAGCGATTCCTGAGATATATGTTGGCAAGACGATGATGATGATTTTCATATAGTAAACTCATTCGATCGTTGAAATTCATTCGTTCATTGGTTCGTGATCCGGTACCTCCCATTTGACCCGTGCAATATTCTCTCGAATGAGTGGTCTCTTCATCATCGGAAGCAGTCAAATCAATCGCAGGTAAAATGTTTGCTTGTGATGTATTCAAATTCGATTGTGTGAAATTTAATGCAGCACTACGATCTGGTGTCTCCGGTCGGATGGTGCAGACAATTTCATTGTCACTGCTTGAATCACTGAGCCAATCGAGTTGCAAATCGTCACATTGCAGCAAATCCTGCGGTCGTTGCAAATCTGGTGCGTTCAGCACTTCAAGGCTTCGCGGCGCATTTGCTGGTGGATTATTTGCAGCGTTCGAATGAACAGATTCATTTTCGCTCAGGTCAATGACTTCTTCAGACTGATTGCTCGTCGATGGTGCGATATCAATGTGGACTTGTGGTTCAATTGCTGCTGGTAAATCGTATCTCCACGATTGGCTGGAATATCGTGTGTCACCCGAATCCTCGTCGTTTCGATTGAATCGATACGATTCCTGTGGACGCCACATCGCAACACGCTCATCTCCACTGTCATCGTCCGAGCTTGAATCATTTTGGTATCGCAACAGACGTCGACCATCATTTTCAATGTTCAATCGCATCGGTTCTGTTTGCAATCCACTCGGTCCAGCCTCTGGATCATTTTCAAAATCATCGATTGGCGGCGCTATCGGTTGCTGCTTGATTATCACATTTGCAATTTCCGGGTTCTCATTGACGGTGCATTGTTCCTTTTTATTTGTGCTGGATACCGGCTCCGCTTTCACATTCAAAACGGGTTTTTTCCTAAAAATAGCGAAAAATGGAAATGAAATCATCGTACAAAGTCGTGAATGAAACTAAATTCTGAACTTGAAAACATATACAGTGGCAAAAGATAACCCCAATCGTAGTGCGAATATAAAAAAAACCAACGAAGTATAAGATTAAAATCACAAATCGAATGAACAACGGACTTAATACTCACTCTTGTTTGATATCGGCGATAAGTGGCTTTAAATGTTCTTTGGTGTCGACAACAGATTCACTATCTACACTCTCGTTGTTGCTGATCGCCTCGGTTTTGAATTCACGTTTTATTCTAATCTTGAATTTCTGTTCAACGTTATTATTTTCGTCGTCATTGTCGATGGGTTGCGATATGCTTGCACTTGTTGAATTGAACGTCGTATCGATTTCGTTGACGTTTGGCTTCTTCCGTGCCTGTACTGGTGATTCGTCGTCGGCACTATGCGATTCGGTGGTTTCGGGCGTTTGTCGGCTACTCCGATTATTCCGATACTCATTGTTGAGGCGATAGTGTTTGTTTTGCTGTAACTGTGGCGGTGAATAACGATGCGGTCGCTTCATTCGATTGCTTAAATTCAGTGCCGATGCATCATCCGGTTGATAGTTATGATGGTGATGCGGATGATGATGGTGATGATGATGATTTGCCGACGATGAGATGCTGTCTTCGGAAGATGTACGTCGGATTTGTGCATGGCTATTTGGCTTTGATTCAGCCGGTGTTTGTCGTGACGGTGATGGATGTGTAGCATAGTCGAAGCGATGACGTATTTGAACATTTTCTTTATTGCTGTGATTGAAGGAAGACCGAGCTGAAGAGCTATTATTGCTATCCGGACGCATGGATAATTCGACGGGCAACAATCTGGAATCATCTTCATCATCTGAACTGATTTCGATCACAGGCAAACTCGAATAACCGGAAATGTTTTCGTCTTCAGCCGTTTCACGCTGATTGTTGCTGCAACCAGCAGAGCCGCTACCACCTCGATAATGGAGAAAAGATCGATTGGAACGGGGACGACTCAAAGTGCGGCGCATTGATTCAGCCAATGGCAATGCACTTAAATTGGTGTTGTACTCGCGAAACGATGGAACCAGATGAACACGAGATTGTTGGAAATTTTGTAATGGCCGCTGTTGCGATGGTTCAGTCGATACCAACCAATTTCGTGGTGGATTTTCGTATTGATTTGCACCAAGACCGTATGGATACACACGACCATAGCTACGCAGGTATGGGTTCCATGGATTTAATGGTGGCGAAACAGCTCGCATGCCATCGGTCGGCTGATAGATTTCATATGGTGGCGGTGTTATGTGTCTCTGTGTCAGTCGTGCGGGAGATCTGTTTCTGGTTTCAGCTGGTATGAATAATTCAGGTGGTGGTGGTGGTGTGGATATATTTAGGTGTCTACCATGCTGACGTATTGCCCAATTTGGTTCAGCTGGCAGCGAATTATCACCATCAACTGACGGTTGAGCTTGATTCGACAGCTGTTTACACAAAATTCAGATTACAATTTAAGAAATTCAAAGAAAAAACGCTAAAAAGTCTATATACGTACTGCATCCATTTCGTCATCTGAAATTTGAATCGAATTGAGGTATCGAAGACTACGTCGGACATTTGGTCGATTCGGTACTGCGTCAATACTATCAGCATCAGCAAATATATCTTCGGCATCTGTATGATAAACATTTTGAATATTTTTATTGAGGCGCCAGAAGTAACTATGAATTTAGCAGAATATAGTAACTAAATATACCTAAAACTTCTGGCTGACGTTGCATTTGACCGTGTTGTGTCGCTTGCACAGCTGTATTCAAAATTTCACGAAATTCATTGTATCGAATCCCGTTTCGAATGAAGGGTGTGGGTGGTGAAAATGAACGGCCCATTCTTGGCGGTGGTGAAAATGATATTTCTTGTGCATCATCCGCATTATCCATTTTGTGTCTGGGTATTCGGCCCTCTAACAACTTTTTCTACACTATTTACTATGCGCTTATCAAAATGAGGTTAACACTTTTGATTATCGTCCATATTTGTGGTCTATTCAATCACTTTGATTGATCATTGTTTCAATCAAATGAATAATTTTTTTCTATTCCGTCCGACGATTAGTAAACACCATCAATAAAAATGACAAATTTTTCAATTTCCCGTGAAATATTTTTTTGGCGGTGATTCACATAACTTTCAACAGTATGAATACAAACTAAACTCACTTTGCTTAGCACTTATACATTAACGAATGAATACAACGAAAATTTCATGAAGAAATAGAAACCTTTGGACTGTACACTGTTCGACTTCACAAAATGCAGAAAGAAAAAAAATGAAACTGGTTTATTCTTCCTTTTCTGATTCGGTTTTGTCGCCCCTTTTTGTGTGTCTCTCTGTTCGACGGAAATCCATTCACGATTACGCGCATCCAAAGTAACTCTTGCACAGTCTGGTGTTTGTGTATATATATAATTTTCTTTGTTCGCACTTTGCCCGACCAAAAAATTATTTTTACATTTTATTTTTTTTTCTTCTCTTCACTTTTTATATGGGTGTAATTTGTCGCGATGCGTTCTTCGATTATTTAAATCATGAATGGCTACTGACTCTGCGTACAATTGCAATGACTCTGTGATAGAGAACGAGAGTAGGGAAAAAAATGCTCAAGAAAAAAGTGAGAAAAAAAACACAGCACCAATATTTGCGTTACATATATGTGCACTATGAAGTAATTTACACATTGACAGTAATAAACGATAAGAAAATACTTGAGTTACAAATCGACGATGCAAAAATTGCACCTATACACAGTCGCACATATTCAGAAATGGCCGCAATTCATCAGCGTATATTATTTTCATTTCTTCACTACGTTCGATTTGTTTTGCCTTCCACATTGTTTATTTAATCGTATTTTTTATACGCGTTTCAGCATATTTTATGTGTGGCCACACGTCGATGAGTATGTATTGGGCTTTTCAGGCGATGCTATTTCACACTCTCAATTTATTTGTGTTGTTTAGTCTCATTTTATTGGTATCGTGGTAGGTTCTGTCTGTCTGTACATGTTCGCAACTTGAATCAGTTACGCGCGTGTATGTGTAGGTGACTATATAATCCGCTACAATTCACTCGGCAAAAATAGTATATAGCCTACGATACATACGGAATGTGATTTCGAGTGTCTGGTTGTATGCGTGTGTACAACTTTTTTACACAAACATTACTACGTCAAGGTTTTCGGGATTCGTTTGACATTTCGGGCATAACGAATGTGCCCGACTCGTATGAATTATGCTTTTTATCCGATGAACTGAAATGTTTCAATTATGGATTTGAAAGTAATGATGCATTTTCACAGAATGAAATGCGAGATTTGAAATGCATTTTTTTCATTTGGAGAATATTAAATGTATTTCTGATTAATAATGTTATGTACCGCCGAAGAGGGTAAACATAACCTCTACCAATGTTGTTTCACCCGCTTTAGTGACCATAGTAAATTTTCATTTCTACTGAAAAACTTCAACTCCATCTAAAACGTGAGCTTCTTTTGAAAATCTTAGACTGGAATGAAACAAACGATTTACCAAATAATAATGCGGTTTTCTTTTTTTTCGGTTTATTTTATGAATTTACACATTCATATCAATTTTTGTGTTGGAAAATTGTAACAAACGCGTTACTCGTTGCGCATCATCTTCTCCTTTTGACGTTGCAACTTCTTTTTCGACAACTTCTTCTTGGGCTCGTCATCAGCGACTTTAGCCACAACTTCTTCCTTTTCGGATAAGATAACTTCGATGTGGCATGGCGATGACATGTATGGATTTATACGACCGTGAGCACGGTATGTACGACGACGAAGGCATGGAGCTCTGTTAACCTAGAATTCGAAACAAAAAACACATTGATTAGTACCAAAATCATTGCAACTGTTTCACTTTCAATCACTTTGAGTTCACTTTGGCAATGCATCTGAACCGAAAAATCCTTAAAAAGCACTGCTTGAGAGAGAGAAATGCTCACCAAAATGTGGTCGATGACCAATCGATCGACATCCAAACCCTTGTATTCGGCGTTGCTTTCGGCGTTCTTCAACAATTGAAGCAAGAAGTCGGCGGATTTCTTTGGCCAACGTCCTTGGGTTGTTCCCCATTGTTTGGCTTGAGCGCATCGGCCAACACCACCATTGAAGTTACGGTATGGTACACATTCCTTCTTGTCAACGACGTTCTTCAAGAATCGTTGTGCACGACGGAGTGGCATTTTCTTGATGGCTTGGGCGGCTTCATGGGTGTTCTAGAAATAAAATCAAATTTTATTCACATTCATTCGATTTTCTTTTGGTGACTGTGTTCAACTAGTTTTTATATTGAGTCAATATTATTCCACACAAGTTCACTTGTCAAATGGAATCACTGTAAACACATTGTACACATACGATTTATTTACATGATGTTGAAGTCGGGTGTAAAAAAGTTATTTCCCGCATAAATACTCACTTTGAAATGCACACGAAGATGTGATCCGCGAGATTTGCAGCTCTTGGCAGCATTATCAGGTTCACGAGCGTATTTACCCATTTCGAAATATTATATCTGCAATGAGAAGAACACAAACTCGGTTAGATTCACAGTCTAATCAAATTTTTTCCATTTTTCACAAGAAAAATTCAGTAAAAGTCCAAAACTAATTGCATACGTCGATAGAAAATCGTTTTCTGATGGAAAACCAACTGAAATGTGTGAAAATTATTAAAGATTTCATATCGATGATTTTGAAATAAAATTGGAAAACTTACATTTGAGTTGTTGCCTACTGATGGTTCAACCCGGAAAGAAGGCTAATATGGCGAAATGCGTTGACGTCGCGTTCACAGCGCCACCACTGATCATTTCAGCAATTAATGTGACAGTTTGACAGTGAATGTGACAAAGCGTACAATTCAAAAAAACGTTCAATACCTTTTTTTGTTTCGACTGGTGATTTTTTGTACATTGCGCATGAATGTAAAACACATTTGTTCTTACTCTCGTTTCACAGGCCCTACTTTTTCTTTAAAGACAAAAGCAGTTTTTGACAAAATTGATACAAATTACTCCGTAAACGGTAAAAGCGATCGATTTAACTGTCACTGTGACATGCACTATCATACGATGCACGTGTAGTATTAAATGAAGATTAGAGCTAATGGAAAAACAGAGCGAGAGAGAGAGAGAGGGAGAGAGCGTAAAATTGTGGAATGAGAGAGAAAGAACGAAGGGCAGAGAGTAAAAGCAACGCAAGAGAGACGGAGAGCGTAAGAACGCTTGAAGCTGCCTATATGTTTATGAATGAGATCCGGTTTTATTCATTTGCAGTTCAGTTCAGCTGTTGTGTGGAGCACAACATTTAGCTCAGCGACATTGAGCCAAAACAGGAGAGAACAAAATTTTCCACTTGTCGTATCTAACGAGTTAGTGCAAAATCGAAGGTTAACCAAAGCGTTGTGAGTTTCGTTGCCATTGACAATATCCAATCATATCTTGTGAAATCGGGGAACAATTTTTGCTAAAGAATTTCTTTCATTGAAAATTGTGTGTGAAAATTCCTGAAAAAATGCCAGAAGGTTTTGCTAAAGTCACTCATTGTCTATTCGACATGGACGGATTGCTATTGAATACCGAACATATCTATACGAAAATCACGCAACAAATTCTTGAAGAGCAAGGTTGCAAGGAGGCCTATACGGGTGATTTTAAAGTGACCTTGATGGGTGGTCAAAGCTTGGAAGTGGCAAATGCCATTGTAAAACGGTTTAATCTATCAGTTTCACCCGAAGATTATACCAAGAGGCAGCGACAACTCGCACTGAATTTGATGCCAACTGCAGAAATTTTGCCTGGCGTTGAACGTTTGTTGCGTCATCTTGCATCGCACAAAGTTCCGATGGCATTGGCCACCAGTTCCAGCAAGGAAATGTACGACTTGAAAACAGTTCGACACACAAAGCTATTCGAACTCTTCGATCATAAAGTGTATGGGTCAAGTGATGTTGAAGTAAAACATGGGAAACCAGCACCAGATATTTTTATTGTAGCCGCCAGTCGTTTCAAGGACAAACCCGACCCAAGCAAGTGTTTGGTATTTGAAGATGCTCCAAATGGGGTGAAAGCTGCTTTGGCCGCTGGTTGTCCAGTCGTCATGGTGCCAGAAGATTATGTTACAGCAGAAATGCGAGCACAAGCAACACTCGTTGTAAATACATTAGAAGAATTCAAACCAGAATTATTTGGGCTACCAGCATTCGATTAGTTTAGATAAGTAGACAAAAATTGTGACCATAATTTTTGATATTGCCATTTGTATATAAATCCTTCAGTAGTCGGATTTAAGTACGGGTAATTAGGAGAATTGTATGAATTTAACAAATCACATCCCCAAAAAAAATCTATTGTACCTAAGAGTGGAATAAATAAAGAAAATTATTTTATTGACGTAGACACTTCCAAACGCATTTCAATATGTGTGTATGTTTTTTTTTCATCACTATCATCTCTATCATCACCATAGCACTTTTGATTAGTCAAAAACTTTACAACTTCCGCAAATACACAGAAAATTGTATGTACATAACAGATGTTTAATGGGCGATTTGACGTCTGTTATCGTCTGGTATCTGTCAAACAACACTCTTAGTAATAACATAAGTCAGAGAAGAGTAAACAATTGGCTCAAAATGCACTCACTACGGTTGCAGTACTCCAGATTGAATCTTTATCGAAATACATTTAGTTTATTGGAAAAATATGTGAAACCATCGATAGCAAGTTGTTGTTCAAACTTTTCCACGGAATTACCCAGCTTTAATGAATCCGATCAATTCAAAGCCGCTGTTTTGCATCCGAAAAAGCAGAATTTAACCGTCGAAACATTGGTTCTACCGGACACAGCAGCCGATGGCATGGTATTGTGCAAACAATCGATAATCGATAATCGATTTCTTTTCATCAATAATTTATAATGCATTTTTTTGATTGAATCATTTTGATTTCGTAGGTTCGTGTTGGTGTCGACTATTGCGCAGTGAATGGTATTGATGTAAAGTGTATTTATCAAGATATCAATACAGTGACGCTGCCATTTATACCCGGAAGTGAATTTAGTGGCGAAATTTTGGAAGTTGGTCCGAATTGCAAACGCCAATTTCAGATAGGCGATAAAGTAGCCGTTTTAGGTAAATTGACACAAAACATTGAGTTGAGGTTATGTTCCATGTAAACTAAAGGCGGCTTCTTGAACTTGACAAATTTCCATAGGATTAAAACATGTAGGAGGTGGACTATCACATCAATGTTTTGTACCAGAAACGGAGTGTATTCATGTCGATCCACGTCTATCACAGAAAGACGCTGCAACAATTATTCAAGGCTATTCCAATTCATTGCTGGCATTCACCAAATATGCTCCGATCAAGGAAGGTGATGATGTTGTCATTTTCGCAGGGCCCGGTGGCGATGGTTTGGCTGCTATTGATATTGCACATAATATTTTGAAGGCAAATGTTTATGTTGTGTTTGCAAGTGCATCAATCGATGCCCTAGTTCGAGACGAATCAGCGCACAAGGCCATCAATTGCAATGTTGGTCTCACTAAAGTGTACAATTACTTCAAGAACACACTCGCATCGAAGCAATTCAAAGCCGTTTTTGACACGTATGACTCCAAAATATTACATGTTATCGCCGATTTGTAAGTGGAATTTCAATCAATATTTTGTTTTCTCATGTGCTGCTTCACATCTCTCGAAATTAAATAATATTTTTATTCACATTTCGGCAGTATTTCTCCAAACGGATACATTCTGACCGAAGATCCATTCTTCTCACCGGAAACATTTGAAGCGCCGTATTTCAAAAAGGACACGGGCAAAAAGTCGAAAAAGAAAAAGCCAACACTCGAAGAGATTGAAGAACCAGAAAATATTGACTGGACTGAACGTGTGAAAAAGGTTGACATTACAAAATATCAAACGACAGAGCCCGAATTTTACGAACAAATCGTCAATCAAGCATTCGAATTACATGCTACTGAAAAAATTAACCCATTCGTTAGCCAAGTATGGAATCTACGTGAGGTTAATAAGGCGATTCAATTTGTGAATTTGAAAAAGTGTTTGGGTAAAGTACTCATCGATACACGACGGAAAAAAGCATCGCTTGAAGGGAAACAAATCGCTTAAAGGCTGTAATTGTTGTTATTAAGATTAGAAGTAAAGAATGTTGAAAGTCATGGATATTTTTGAATAAATAAACCACATCAAAAGCCCATATTATGTTGTCTCGATGGTCTTTGAAGATTGTTCTATCTTTGAAGGTTGACGTCATTCCTGTGCAGAGTCGTTTTTCCTTTGATGTAAAGATAAAAAAATAAACGCCAGACTTGTCAAAATTTTAATTACTTTTGTTGGCAATCAAATCGCCTGAAGGGATGTATCTAATTTTATAAAAAATCGGAAAGGTACTTACAAGACATCAAAAATTTTAAATAAGCTTTTTGTATCTTAAATTGATAAAATACGTCACCCTAATGACCGATCTTATAAAATTGTACCAATTGAAGAAGAAAAGAAGCCCAAGAATCGTCAGAAGACTTTCAAGCGGATATATTCGGCATCAAAATTACTACTTTTTTCTTTGGAATTTGATCCGAATTCCTATTTCTTTAATTTCTGATGTCAATCTTTGGTTTTTGCCTATGTTTTAATAAATTAAATAATTTTTGACCAAAATGTTTTATATTATTTTTTGAAAAACCAAACGAATATTGCTACATTCATTCAAACTGTTTGTTTCTCCCACACTGTGTATGCTTGACACTTTGAACGTATCCCAGCTGAATTGCTGAATGTACTAGCAGATTGAGAAATGTCAAACAACCTAGCGCCATTCATTTAAGCGAGAGACCAAAAAGTCATTAGACTACAATTGGATTCTCAAAGTGTTGAAACAAATTTCGTTTTGTTTCCATTTGTTCAATTAAATTTCAGAGTGTTTTCAGTAGAAAGTTGCGAATTGGGTTTTATTTGATTTTAGTGATTCGATGTGTTTAGGATAAGAGCAAGCTATTAACGTCTGTGTTTTTTTTTTTTAAATAAACTATTCGATTTTTGTTGACCCATTCATTGCATATGTCTTGGGGCGTTTGCAAACAATAGCTTTTGCAGCCGACATTTGTAATCTTGTTAGGGAAATTGGTTTGCCAAAACTCTCAATATTCTCAATTACGACTCTCAACGACACAGCTATTTTTAGGTTTAATTAGGGTATTTTTTTAATTTTTTTTAGAATGTCAAGTTTTTAATTTGTTGACTATATTATTCGATTGTGTCAAATTTCATTAATACATTCGCCACCCTTTCTTTCATTTTATTTCATTCACTCACTCCATTTTGATTAATGCCCCCATTTCTTTTGAATCACAAAATTTAATTGAATCAAAACGCCAACTGAAACACGCACACAAACCAATTTTATCAATTTATGTTGGAATTGAACGAAAAAAATTTAAAATCAAACACATGATATCGCTGTAATAATAAAAACAACAACAACAACAAAACAACGACGATGAATATACAGACGGTGCAAAATGTTTCGGATTGTGTACCATTGTATTTACCGCACAGCTTGTATCTCAAGCCTTATGCAAAATTGGTTATATCAGTGCAGCTGCCTGCCACTGTCACTGGCAAAAGCATATCCAATTGGGACGTAATGGAGAATCTACGCAACATTATTTCACCCGATAAATTCTCGGTGCTTAAGGTAAAAAACGCATACACATGCGTCCATCTTCTTCTGAAGATCAGTGACAGCATTCATACATGAGTGAGAAACTAACACATAATCACAATCGTGAATAAAACTAATGAAAATGTATATTCTGGCATCCAGGTCACAAAGAGCACACTTGAATTGACACGTTTGGACGCTGAACTAGAGGATAGGGCGCGTATGAAACCAGTTCTAACCAGACTGGATGGAAATACGATTAAGCTGAATGGTTTTTCGGAGCCAGCACGAATTCGCGCCTCCGAACCCAAAGACAATTTCCCAAAACGCCATGATTGGGACTCATATTTTCGTGATGCCCGGAACATGGACGAAAAAAAATGTGGTGAGCGCCCAGATACCATTCACATTTCGAATCTACCGATTCGCTGGTTTTGCCCACGGCACATGGAAAACGAAGACGATGTCAAACCCAGTGAGAGTATATTCAAGCGAATATTCGAGAAATTCGGATCGGTGCGCGTTGTTGACATTCCCATTTGCGATCCGTATCGCAAAGACATGAAATCTCACATGACCGGAATGAAGACATTCAGCTTCGATCAAGAGCTGTATTTTGAAGGGTACGATCATTGAAAAAAAAACAATTCAAATCCCATATTCAACCTAATCGTTCCATTGATTGTAGATATGTGCAATTTTCGGAGTACATTGGCTTTGTTCGAACGATGGATGCGTTACGTGGCATGAAGCTATTGCGCAAAGATGGCGACAAAAATCTGGCAATTAATATTGCTGTTGATTTTGATACAACTAAACATCTTACCGAGACAAACATCAAACGTCGTCAAATCATTCGAGACCGATTGATCATGAAGGAAAACGAGAAACGTGAAGAGGAACGCCGCAAAGCCGAGGAAGAGGAACAACGGAAGGAAAATGAAAGGTTTGATTTTAAAAGGGTTTCTTTTCATTTTATGCAGAAAAAAAAACAAATAGTATTTAATACACATGATTGCATGTGTGTTGATTACTATCGCCACAATGGCTGCGGTTCATTTTTAGCGTACTCGATATTGTAGTCATTGACTTAAGTTTCCGTTTCAAGAGATAGCGATAATTTGTTTATACAGGCAAAAAGTGGAACAACAAAAAATAGAAGAGTACGAAAAGCAGCGACAGCGTGAAGAAAAACGAAAAGAGAAACATTTGAAAAAGATACGTGAACAAGAGCAACATCAATTGAATTCAAAGATTCGATCGGAGGAGAAGAAATTGCTCATTGCCCAACGTAAGTTGGAGAGCATTCGTGTGCTAGAAGCACTTTTCGATCGGATTAAGGTGAGCATTTGTATTCCTTATGGTATTGTAGTGAACAATTCTGAGCTAATTGCTTCTCAGCTTGAATGAACCAAAAAATGTTTGACATGCTAACTAATCCAAAAACTCACTTTGTCATTTGCAGCTGAAACATCAAACTCTCAAAGCAAAAATCAAGAAGGAACGCGATGAAAGCGGTTCAAGAGACAAGCATAATTCGTCGTCTTCGCATAAATTGAAAACGTTTGATCTGCGTAATAAATTGATCAGCAAAGTGAAGTCAGTGTCAGAGCAAGAGTTGGAAAGGCAGAAAAGTCGATTGAAAAAATACAAATCGGGTATCGTGTTGGATCGTGGTTCGAAAGAACGTTCGCCCAGCGTAAATTCAATTAGTTCGAATGAGAGTATTTTGAGTGATAAACCGTCAACCAAGAAAAAGCGAAAGAAGAACAACGAATCGGATGCTTCTCTGGATGAAGAGGCAAATGGTAAGAGTTACACACGGTCGATTCGTTCACAATTGGGGAATGTTAAATTTTTGTTTCGAATTTTAGATGAAAAACCAGGACCGTTGATACCCGGAATGGGAGCATATCCCGTGTATCATCCGGAGACCGGACAATGGATGGGCATGTATCCATATCCTGCTCCATTCTTTCCACCAATGTATCCAGGCACTGTGCCGTATAACAATTATGGAGAAATTGGACGAGGTGGCTATCGTGGGAGATTCCCACGTTCCAGAGGCAGACGCGTCTATAGAGGCCGTGCCAATCATTATGGCCACGATGAGCGCAGAAAGGACGACGAATGGTATGATCACAAACGCAGACATCGTAAAAGGTAGTGTCTATTTTTCTGTGACTACTGCAAGAGAGTACAAGTACATCTAATATTCATATGACTAAATAAAATTTCAGATCTGGTTCCGATAGAAGTAGAAGCCGGAGTCGTTCGTATTCATCGCGTTCTCGAAGTCGAAGTCGATCATATTCACGAAACCGCCGTAGCCGGAAGAGTAAGTAGACTTAATCGGTCTGAGATTGAGTACGACTTAATTTTAAAATTTTGGTCGTTATTTTCAGGTCGCAGCGGAAGTCGCAGCCGCAGCCGAAGCCGCACCAAATTGCAAGCAGAACATAAATCAAAGAAATTAGCCTCAACGCTAAGACGATCGCATTCATCATCATCATCATCATCATCCAATGCATTCAGACGGTCTAACAGTCACTCGCGTCCACACAAGCACAGTCGTTCATCGCGTAGTCGTCATCGTTCGAAGGAAACTCGCCGTTCACACTCACGCGATAAAAATTCATCATCGAAACGTGACAAATCTGCATCGAATTCGGAGAGAAAAAAGCGACAGGCAACACGAACTCCATCTCCACCCAAAAAGGCATCCGAGCGTGAAAAATCACAAACAACACCGCCTGCCAAACGATCCCCATCGCCACCTCGGAAACAATCAAAATCCCGATCCAGATCGAAATCAATCGATAGCTCCGCTTTTCAATCGCCAAAACGCAAAGCACAAAGTGTTACACCCGAAAAAGAATGGGATTGAATTCAATCACAAATTCAATGTTCCTTAAGGATATGAAAAGCAATGGATTCGATTTTGACATTTGCTTTTTTTCCAAATTCTACTTTGATTTAAAGAACAAAACGATTCTTTTTGTAAATAACGAGAAAAAAATAGAAGAAATTTATTTGGAAAACAACACAAACTGCTTTTTAAAATATTTGTTCTAGAATATTCAAAAGATTGTCACCACTAAATTAGGCTGAATGTCAAGTTAGTTTTGTTGTGCCTTTTTTTTACTCTCATTATACAATTTTTGTGCCATTTCAATGACTGAACGCCGCGCAAGTTTTCCAGTATTGGTTTTTGGAAATGAGTCAACAAAATACACGCCTCCTCGGAGTTGTTTGTGATCGGCAAAATTATCTGAAAATGTTTGAAATTCAAATATTTATTCCACTTTTCGAATCAAATGATGCAATTTAATCGATCTTACTCGCTACAGCGTCTTCAATGGATTCCTCAGTGCAAGTTGAATTATCCGCTTTTATTAACACCGCAGCCGGCAATGAATCATAGTTTGGATCTGGGATTGGTACCACACATGAATCATACACACCGTCGATTTGGTTCAGGAACTCTTGTATTTCGGCCGGGATCACGTGATAGCTCAGACATTTAAATTGCTCCTTCTTCCGATCAATAATAAATAAATCGTTATTCTCATCGAATCGAGCTAGGTCTCCTGTTTTGAAAAAACCCTCGCTATCGAAGCATTTGCTCGTACTTTCATCATCGCCCAAATAGCCTTTAAACAGAAATGGATCCCTCAAACAAAGTTCGCCAATTTCATTTACGCCCAGCCGCTCTCCTTGATCATCCACAATCTTCGCCTCCAAATCGTCAACGAGCTGGCCGACACAATTGTTGTTTGCATGAAGCAGATTGATTGATACAACTCCAGCCATTTCAGTCATTCCTAGACTGTGCGCAAATTTTCCGTTTGGCAAGTACTGATTCAACTTCTGTATATCTTTATAAGACATCGTTGCACCACCAGCACGGAAAATTTTCATACTGGACAAGTTGGCTGTTTCAATTTTTGGATGATTAAGCATTTGATGAACACAAAACATCGTCGACGAAGTGAAAGTTATTTTAAATTTTTCAACGAGCTCGAAAAGTCGTTCCACCGTAAACTTGCCCTGGTTGACAATTCGTGTTGAGCCATTCAGTGTTCCACTGATTAAATATCTGATGCCAGAAATTGCGTCGACTGAAGTGAATCCTATCATCACATCATCGGGTGTCATAAACGACATTTTACTCATTCTATTCAGGACATTCGCATGTGTGAGTGGAACTCCCTTTGCATTTCCAGTACTCCCAGACGTACAAACCATGAATGCAACATCATCAATGGCATTTATTTTAGCTGGACTGTGAATGTGTAAACAAAGAGTGTTTGTTTTTGTCTCGGTCAATTAAACTTTTATCGAATGTCATCTAGCATATCTTACTTACACAAAATGAAGTTCATCGTCAAAATTTTCAAATAAATACTTGATAGGGCGTGTGTCAGCCGGTTGATTACCAAAAATGAAGAAATCGGGTATAATTTTCATGCTGATCATACATTCTTTTAACATTGGATAGAATTTGTCGTCACAAATTACAATCTTCGGCCTTATAGATGTTAATGTGCGACAAATCTCGGCAGCTCCATGTACTGTTACCTCTGCTAGTATTGGACATCCTAAGCTCAAAGCAGCAAATACTAGAGGTTGAACATCCGCGCTATTATTTGTAAAAAGCAAAATAACATCACCTTTCTTGTAGCCAAGGCTTTGCAACTTTTTCGCCGCACAAATCGACAACGTGTGCAATTCATTGAACGTTGTTTTAGCACCCGTAATCGCACAGACCTATATAAAATGATTGACAATGCAATAATTTTGAAATTTGATTTATTATTTATTGACTTATCTACCCGTTTTAATTCCGATTTATTTGAATCGTTAACGTTCCAAAGCATTCACTCACCTGAGCAACTTTAAGCCCATTTTCCAGAAGCGTATTCAAAATAACACTTCCCAATGATGTTTGAGAATTGAAGCTTGGATTTGTTTTTACACCATTCCACTGCCTCTTTTCTGTATCGTATGAAGTGTGGTACATTATCGCAATTTCAGCACTTTATGTATTCTTCTACGTTTTTTTACTAGTACTGAATATATTTTACTTTCGGGTATCATATGATCAACAATTCATGTGGAACATACCCATTGGTGTGTCAAACATTTGACATTTGTTTAAATTCAAAGTTGAGCGCCCTACTTGTAAATTCAAAACTATGAGAATGAAACAAAATGATGATTTGAATCGTCTTACAAGCATTTATTTTGGATTTAATAATTGAATTTTGAAACATAAATTGACGAATAATCGGTATAGTTGCAATAAAGGCAGATACAAGGATTTATATAATCCATGAAAATTTGAAGAAGAAAATGAATTAGTTTTCATGAAAAATTAAAAAAAAAAAAACATTTTATTAATCAAACAATAAATATGTTTAACAACGTTGGAGTCTCTTATTCAAATTAGACGATAAATTTCACAAGACGATCTTTGGAATTAACCATTGGGAATATACCAAAACATGTATAATATTTGAATAAATTTTGCTATAGCCTCTCATGTTCATTCGGATATTTCAAAGTCTGAGCTTTCGTCGAATTCCAAAATCTGAAAAAATGAATATTAACAATTAATTTTTTCCACTAACGATTCAAAAGAAAGAAAACCTAAAAAAAGATTTCTTCACCTCTTCGTGTTGTGCGTTAAGCATTTCCGATATGCCGGATAATTCTTCAAGGCATTTCGATGATTCAAAGACTTGAAACAGGAATTCATGGCCTCGATTGCGGTATTCATCGAGGATTTTCTGTAAATTTCATATTTTCATGTGAATTCAAACATTTTTCCCAAGCATTAAAAAAAAGTCCTTACCTTAGAGCATGCAACGCATTGTACAAACCGTTCGGTTGCGGGATGAATGTGTTCGAAATTGCTGAGTGAGCCACGAATTGAATGCGGTATAATGCCGAGTAAACCTTCTGGGATCGATTTGATTTGTGTGTGCACGTCATGATTGTTGATTGAAATGTATGCCGGGCTCATTGACCGTTGCGGGTGTTGTATTAACGAAATGAGCAATTCAACCGCCAAACCGCCTGCGATATTCGATACAGCTGGTCGAGTTACCGTACATTGCTGATCTAATGTGCGATCTTTCATTGACTATGCACACGAAGAAATATAAAAAAAAAAAAAAACAAAACAACAGTTAAAATTGAATTTCTCTACATTTCTATCGCAATTCACGTTCTCAGCTTTACATTCAATGCACACCTACTCGCAGTTGAATAGCGTAGTCGGTACATGACGCATGATAAACTCAGTTGCATGCTGAGTGGTGGGGATAAACACACATTTCAAAACAATTGCTCGCTGTTTGACAGCAAAACTGGAATTTATTTCCATTTTTTTTCCTCTCTCGAATGTGGCACGACCAATTTCGTACGGCTTATCAATAAAACAAGTACGAATGGTTGCAATTGTCATAATCTATGTGCTGTCATTCAAAAGTTATGTGATAAGAATGAAAATCGAATTGTTGTCGACTCAAAGATTTTAGAAAAGTTTTCGCTGATGTAATATACGAATTGTTGGTCTTGTATTTTCTGTAGTGTTTGAAGGTATTTGAAAAAAAAATGTTGACACAATATATTGGGAATATAACACGAGTGGAACCAGGTCAAATACTTGTTTTGGTGGGAAAAACAACGGACGCTGCAACCAGGTAAAATGAATTCGTGTAAATAAATCATTTGTTTCGTACTTGTGTATTATTCATGATGATTTTCATCTTTTGGCCACAGATTGGATTTGAATTTGAGGAGTGGCAAACATAAAGTTGATAATATTGTATTAAATTTGTCAGTAAATTTCCATGAGAATGTAATCTTTCGAAACAGTCGAATCAATGGTGAATGGGGTGTTAGAGAACACGAAGAAAACATATATGAATCTAAAGAAGACACATTAAATCCAATTGTATCGGGTAAATTGTGCAATCTAACTTAATAAATGCCAGCAACTAATTGAAATGAACACTTTTAGGCGAAATATTCAAATTTTACATTTTAATCGGAGATCAGCAGTTCCATATCGCTGTCAACAATCGACCATTTTGTACATACAATTATCGCTTGCCAGCTGAATCAATACGAACGGTTCAGTTGAAGTATGATTTACAGTTTGTCACACAAGTCGATCATCGTTCAGGTAACCTAAAATTAATTTCTTTTTTTTTCTTCTATCTCAAACCCAGCATCATTTGATTTTTCTTTGATGCATCATTATAGTATTTCCATCACCCCATCCGCCCGTTCAATTTGACGATGCTAGAAATATTTTCAGCAATGATGTGCCCAAACCATTTAAATGCGGTAATTTTTCAAGCCATATTCAACTCTTTTTTTTTAACTGAATACATAGAAGAAAAAAAAACTTCTTAAATAGAAAAATCTTTTACTCCACACAAATTCAGGTCATGTGATAGTTATAACTGGCATTCCATATGGAAATCCAAAAGGATGGTTTCTCATCAAGTTCACTGAAGCCGCATCAAAGCGACAAGCACTCCACTTTAGCGTAAGATTTGATCCTCATTTCGTTGTCGTACGAACTTCCATGAATGAAAATAATGTGTAAGTGAATCCATTGCCGCGTCATACTATCTAGGCAAATTATTAATGACCGGTTCATTTCTTAGGTATGGAATAGAAGAGCGATTTGGAGAGTTTCCATTTGCATTAGAACAACAATTTAAACTGGCTATTGCAATGACACCAAAAGAGTTTCGATTTGCCGTGGATGGTGCGTATTTTTCGTCATTTGTACATCGATCCGAGCATGGAATCGAAAAATTGAACGGTTTCAAGATGGGAACGTCGTTCGGAATGTACATGGAAATCACTTCGGTGGATCATTTAGAAATGGATTCAATGGAATGCGAAGGATTCGAAGAATACTCTAATCCCGATGCAGATATATACTAAATTCAACGATTTATTCATACATCCAGAGGCATACTTACATCACCTGGGGCAGTAATATCGTTGCAGAAATAACATCCCAATTTGTTGCCCGGTATGCATTTTAATCCATCAATAACTGAACTAGTCGATCCATCTGCTGCATCTTCATTCGCCGATGGATTACAGCCATGTCGCATAACCAAATAACTATCAAAACCCAATGCTGCATTTATGACGATCTAAAAATAAATAACACCTTTAGTTAATCTCGAATAAAGAAAAAGAAATGCCTTTTAATAGTCGAACCTTGTCATGAGCTGCGGCCAGCATTGTTGGTAACCAACGACTCTCACGTGAATCGGTTAGCAGAAAGATGACATCATGACTTTCGATAAGCTCTTCAATGGTTTTCAGGGATTCAGTTGCTTGCTTTTTAAGCGATTCACCAACTGTAAAGCCCGGCATTGGGATGTGAATATTGTAACCGGTTGCAGCCTGAGAATCAAAATGACGTATATAAACTCATAGAACATTGCTAATTCTAGATTTGCTCTTAGGTGATCTTTTACTAGAAACTATAGTTTTGAAGACTCGTTAAGAAAGCAAAAAATACACTTACAATTCCTGGATGGATTTCTTTTAGACGGGCGGCTGCCGTTTTGGCTTTCTCCTTTTTCTTTGATGCATCATTGTAAGTGAATAAGCTCTGTCGCACTGGATTCGAAAATGACACATGACCACTATCGAGAAAACTGATGTGTTGTAAACCCCAAGCCTATATAATAAGAGAATTTCCATCAACACCATCTTCCTTTACTTGTAAGTTGGGCGAAATATGTTGTGAATTACCATCAAATTTCTGGCCACTGAGCATCCGAGAGTACCGGCACCAAAGATTAAGCATTTAACCTTGGATATTTTATCCAAATCGAGACTGGGCAATAGACGCCATTTCATTAGCTTAAGATTTAAGTAAACACCACTTTCTGCCAACCTGTTGAAAATAATGAAAATGCCGAGCCATAAATAAATTATAAAATCATTTGTTATTCTGTGTATTACTTTTGTGGATCCATGCTATTTGCGAGTGACGCACAACGCGGTATGTATTTCCCTTGGTCATTTGGCTCCCAGCCAATCCATTTAACATTGTGAATGTCAACATCATCTGGTGGCAGTTTTATTGTAAACAAAACGCTTGTCTCAAGCGATACCGACTTTTTTACGCGCATCGAAAGTATTTTTATCGTCTTTTCTCTTAGATTCGGACTGAAATGATACGGTTATTTTTATTATCTTCTGGCATAACGAATAGTATTGAAAGAATACACACCATAAATGCGTTAGCATAACTAGGAATAACCGTAACGGCCAGCCAGCGTATTCAACCGTTGGGCACGGATCCGAAAAACAAAAATAGATCTCATCCAAATTTGCATCGGCAAAATTTTCGCTTTTATTCGTTGCGCTAATTTTATCGGAAAGTTTAATATAATTGAATTCGTCGGCATCGTTCTTGGTGATGATGAAAAATGAACGTTGCTCGCTGGACAATGGGAAATAGACTTTGGTTAAGGCTTCCAATTGGGATGGATTTAACACATCGGTGATGATTTTTGAGTCATCAGTTTTTTCGAAAATTGGCGTCGATGGGCATGGGTATGCAAAATGGTAATAGTAATTGAATGCTTTCAAATCCTGGAATTGAGATGAAGTGTGAAACGGAATGAATTTAATGAGGGGAAAAGATAAAAATATATTTTTATCTTTTACAATACGACCTTTTTTCCGTGTTTGTATACAACAGGTCGTATTGTGAATATAAAATTGCAACTTACTCCAAATGCGAATATGAAAAATCTGGACAGAAGACTTGGTTTCTCCAAACAGGCTCCACTCGTGATATCTTCCCATATTAATTTACCTTCTTCTTTGACCAATTCGAGTTTATCACACGATTTGAAATCCTCAATCTTGTTCTTGTTAACAATTGCACCGTGACTCTGATACTTATTCGATCGCGATTCGAATTCCCTACCAAAGAAAATGTCATGTCAATTGATTTACCTCATCATTGTTCCAATAAAATTAACAAACAAACCGATTGAATGAAGTGGCATCGGTTTCAAGTGAACAGTGTATCACATCGGAGTTTGTGTAAAAACCATTGATTGGTTTGCGGTCGTCATTCAATCGATCCACATCGATTTTCAATTCGGCCAATTTGTGCCAAAATGTTGAGCTTACAAATGAGCTAAATGGCTGGAACTGGAAGATTTTTGCCTCGGTCATGATGCAACAACCACAATACACTTTCAAATATGTTGCGAAATAATTTCACTTGATTACAAAGAGCCGCTGATTTTTTCGCTAATGTTTCATTCCAATTTTCTTTTGCCACTGGCTTATCTATGTTCATATGGTGATACACAGAACAGACAAATGTCGCGACTGTGCGTATTGATTTTGCTCGCAAAATAGCTTCGTTGTTTTTGTTATTGTCTCGTTCTGAGTATAATATACATCTAATGTATGACATTAATATTTGGTGTCTTTGACAGTTGTCACGCGCATGTATTAGTGTGAATTTTGTTGATACACGCACATATACACGGTGAAGCATGTGTCAGATTTAAATGATAGACTTTTGTCGGTATTTGTTTTACTTTGATTTTCTTAAATTCAGTCACTTTCACTAAACGAGAATTTAGATCTATCAACGCTTCTCCAATCCATTTTGAATAATTATTAAAATCAAGTCCGTGACGTGGATTCCGAATAAGAGAGTGTCAATGTGAAGAAACATCACTGTGCATGCAGAAATGACGTTTCAAATAATAGAAATAGTGATAGCAGTGTTATGTATACTTGAAGCAAACCACATGCGCGTTATCTCATTGAAAATTTAACATTGGCAAAGAAAACATTGTAATACATGCCGATTAACATGTGAAAATCGGTTTTAAAATCAAATTTAAAGAAATCACAGTCATCGCTTCCAATGAATTCAGTGTCAACAGTTTATGTGTGAACGTTCATTTGAAATGGATCAAGTGAAAAGGTGGGATGCAACGAGCATTTTATCCATCGAGCAATCGGAGCTGCCGTACGTTTTGATTGTTTTGAATCGTCCGATTCAGGGCGCGCCAATCGACTTCCAACGTTTATGGAATCATGGTATTTGGCATTATTTCTTTTGTACAGACATTTTTTGATTTGCTTAATAATCAAATTTGGCTGTTTCCCTTTGAATTCACTTTGCAGCTGAATTGCGTGTGTTGGTCGACGGCGGTGCAAATCACTGGCTTAAATTTGTCGCGGATAATAAATTTGAGGAATGTATGGCATCGCCGCATTTTTTAACGGGCGACATGGATTCGGTCACCTACGAATCATTGCGACGATTGGACACATTGAATTGCCAACGAATTCGTACACCCGATCAAAATGAAACCGATTGTACGAAATCGCTTATTGTTATACGGCCTTATCTTCAATCAAAGCAGGTATTTTCTTTGTCGTCATCGATGAGTATTTTGATTTTAAGTGTCTTTTATTCCTTTTCTCGAGTACAGATTCAAAACGTATTGATAATGACTGACTTTGGCGGTCGATTAGATCAATTGTTGTCTCAGATAAACACACTCTTCAAACGACCATTACCACAGGATACAAATATTTATTTAAAGAGCCATGACACACTTGCTTGGCTGTTGTGCCCAGGGCAACATGAAATCAAAGTTCCCCAGCAATATGTCTCGCAGCAAATATGGTGCGGATATATTCCGATGAATGGAAGCGCCGGCGTGACAACGACGGGCCTTAAATATGATATGAGTATGTTTATATTTATGCACAATTTATGAATAATTTGAACGATTTCTTTCAAATGATAACACTTCAATGAAATGTTTTTTTTTCTCCCACAGCAAATGGTACCGTTTGCTTCGGTCAACTCATTAGCACATCAAACACATACACAAGCTCAACTGTCACAATTCACTGTGATAACCATCTGTTATGGACAATGGGCAGCTGTAAAAATTGATCAGTTTTAAATGACAAAAAATTGAAATGTAATATAAACGTTGTTTATTTTTGATACTTCTAAAAAGGGTGCAGTGGAATGATTTCGCAAACATTTTGAATAAAATTGAATTTTGTTCTTGGAATGGAGTCGGTTAAAAAGTAAATGGGAATGTGTTTGATTTATTGATATTTATCCATAAGTTCTTCCAGCGTATTTAGTACCGCAACCATTTCAGGTCTTTCCCCATTATTTTCATTCGTGCATGCAAGTCCGATTTTCATAAGTGCATCATACAACGGAACAGACACTGTGGCTGGATCCATCGACTTATCGATGAGAGGTGCCATTGGTTCATTGTTTCTGGATTTGAACCAAATGTATTTTGATAAAAGTGTTACATTTGCTCCACGGGTTTTGTCATGCGCTTTCAGTGCGGTGAATAATTCGAATATAACCACTCCATAGCTGAATGTGTCGATTTTAGTGGAAAATATACGATTGGCCAAAAATTCTACTGGTAAATACGGTCTCGTTCCATAAACACTGGATACTTCCATCAATTCGTCGGATCCTTCTCTCACCAATCCGAAATCGCCAATTCTCGGTACACAACTCGAATCAAGCAAAATATTTGCAGGTTTTATGTCTCCGTGTATCAGTGGTTCTTTCTTTCCCCGATACGTGTGGAGATACTGAAGGCCACGCGCCGTTCCCAAAGCAATTTTCATTCGTTCAATAAATGTTAGAGGTTCGGGTGTTGTTTTCGCATGTAATCTCCGCTCAACTGAACCACCTGCCATGAATTGATAAACTAGACACGGTTCTGGGCCATCCACGCTGTATCCATAGAGTGGTAAAATATTGTCGTGTCGACACGAATTCAAATATCGCAACTCGTTTAAGCTTTGCTGCATTTGAACCTTTGCATTCTTCTTCATATCGCCACTCTTGTATTCGATTTTCTTTATGGCAACATCCGTATACTTCCATCGTCCCTTGAACACAGTTCCAAATCCACCACGACCCAATATATTCTCTTTGCTCCATTTGTTTGTTGCCTCAGACAATTCATTATACAAAATCTTCGGTATTTGATTAGCCACCTCTTTGATTTCGTTTCGATCTACGGTGATTTTACTCGACGTTTCCATGGAAGTCTGGACAGAGAGATAATGCGAATATATTTTTTTTTAAAATAAAGTGCTGTGTTATGTAACATCTAAAAATGTTATTTTTATTTCGTCTTACCGAATTGAATTCACTTTCATTTGAAGTTCGGCTCATTTCTGGTCCATTTAAAATCTTCTCCGTTGATATCGTGTCATTCGGTTTAGTTTCTTTAAGTACTTTCTTCGGAATCAGCCGATGATAGCTAACATCAACACGGTTTTTTAAACATTCCATCGCTTCGAATAGTTTGAGACTGTAATGAACAAAATGAGAAGTGAATTTTTTTTTTTGGAAATATTCCATAGAAAATCAATGCTACCATACCTATACAAAACCATGAACAATTCGGTGTTGGTATGATTTAAATCGCTCCAAACTCTTAACAGTTGCTCCGCTGGTGAGACACTTTTATCTTGGGCCATTTTTTTAATTTTCTAAATTAAGAAAGGCGAAAAAGATTGGAATCTAATTTTTGTCATAATCTATGTCAGAGAGCGAATTTCGCAGTAATCAGTCACATTAAATCTTGGTAAAATATGATACAATGAACTCACAATTATATCGGTTAATGCGTATCCCATTTTTTCTGCTGCTTTTTCCCACATCGCCCGTTCTTCGTTTTGACTGTTTTGTTCAAGATAATAGCACACTCCATTGCGTTCGTCCTGTAGGAGCGTATAAATATACCCACTTCCGTCTATTGATCTGGGGTTAGATTGTGAACCACTTCGACCACTGCTCGAGCTTGACGGCGCTGTTCCAGCACTCATTTTTTTTAATTCACTTAAAAATACACACGTATCACGAATGATTCAATTTATTCGAACCAATTGATAAAGAATACTACAGAACTGGATACTAAAACCACAACGTTCATCGCTTATTAATTCATCAATTTGATTCAAGAAAGCAACGACCAAATTCACTTTATAATTTTATTTCTATTCCCAATAATATGGTTTATCTTTGGTTTCGAAACTTAAAGAATGATCACTAAATACACTCATCCACGATATTTGCCGTAATGTTGCACTTCTTGCTAACAAATTTTACGATGACACTTTCATGTCATGTTATTGATTCACCAGCAATGAAATAACAAGTGACAACTGTAATGCTCAGCACAGAACTAATGATCGAACACCGAAAACAACAACCACTAATACTGTGTTGATCAACAGCGCCATTACATTTACATAGCTAATTCTTATGCATACACACGCACAGCTACTTACACACCAACACACAATATACTGTAGCATATTGTATACATATATATGGTACGTATGCGTAAATAAAGACTGGAAATTGTTTAAACAAAACAAAACAAATCCGTAGTAATCTACTCAAATGATGTTTAGGTAATTCGCAGAATGATAATCAGGTAGTTTGCAAGGAGAGTGTTTTATTTGAAGAAAGTATGGAAAAAATAACCGAAGTTTTAAAGATAATGAACGATTTTCGTATGATTTATGACTTTACTCATTGTGGTAATTCCAACTGGTTCCATGTCGCATATCAACAGCAATATAACCAGTTTATTTTCAAATGAATATTACTTAACAAAAAAAATCATTCATTTTGCATTGCAATTTATTTGATTTGTTCGATTTGGATTGCTGGTGGTAGTTGTTTCAAATGATAGCGTCTTTGGTTGCTTTGAGTACACCATCTTAAGGGAAAATTTCGTTTGATGTATTCCAAAAGGGTCGATAATGTGAAACCGGCCATCCGAAGCTCCGAAGGAATGAAAGTATTATCGGATTTCATATTGAGCACGATGCTCTTTGCGCACTGTGAAGGTAAACGGAAGACAAATGCAGCTGTAAAATTTACCAATCACACATCATATAAGCAATACGTTTTTAAAATGAGAAGAAAAAAAACGGATTTGAATATAAACGTTGTTTATTTTTTTGTTAAGTCCGAAAGGATACAGTGGAATGAATTCTTGAACATTTGGAATAAAATCACATTCCATATTTGGAATTAAGGCATTTATAGTTGATACATAAAAATACTAGTAATTAATCCTCTCGTCCTTGTCTATCATTTTTTCGAGAACATTAAGTACTTCAACCATTTCGGGTCTATTCGCAGCATTTTCATGCGTGCACACCAGTCCGATTTTCATGAGTGTTTCATACAGTGGCATAGACACTGTGGCTGGATCCAGTGTTTCATCGATGAGAGGTGCCATTTGTTCATTGTTCTGGCATTTAAGCCACATAAATTTGGCTAAGAATGCTTTATCTGCTCCACGATTCGTGTCATACGCTTTCAGTGCGGTGAATAATTCGAATATAACCACTCCGTAGCTGAATGTATCAATTTTAGTGGAAAATATACGATTGGCCAAAAATTCCATTGGCAAATACGGTCTCGTTCCATAAACACTGGATACTGCCATTAGTTCGTCGGATCCTTCTCTTACCAATCCAAAATCACCGATTCTCGGCATGCAACAAGGATCGAGCAAGATATTTGCTGGTTTTATGTCACCATGTATCAGTGGTTTTCCGTTCAGATATGTGTGTAGGTATTGGAGGCCACGTGCCGTTCCCAAAGCAATCCTCTTTCGTTGAGTAAATGACAAATGACCAGCCGTTTTCACATATAATCTTCGCTCCACTGAACCACCTGCCATGAATTGATAAACTAGACACGGTTCTGGGCCATCCACGCTGTATCCATAGAGTGGTAAAATATTGTCGTGTCGACACGAATTCAAATATCGCAATTCGTTTAAGCTTTGCTGCATTTGAACCTTTGCATTCTTCTTCATATCGTCACTTTTGTATTCGATTTTCTTTATGGCAACATCCGTATACTTCCATCGTCCCTTGAACACGGTTCCAAATCCACCACGACCCAATATATTCTCTTTGCTCCAGAATCCCGTGGCCAAAGCCAAATCGGAATACAAAATTGTTGGTATTCGACTGACCAGATCTTCGATTTTCTTAGTGCAATGTCCGACTATTTTGCTGGACTCTTCAATGGATTCCTGAAAGAGCGCTTTTTTTTAGCAAATGCTTAAGAATTTGTCAGTTGTATTTATTCTTACCGTGTTCAATTCACTTTCACTTGCGGTTTCACTCATATCCGATCCATTTGAAATCTTCCTCGACGTTGCGTTGTTATTGATTTTAGTTTGTCCAGATATTCTGCCAAGTAATGCATTCAAATCTGGTAACTCGTCCGAAATAAGTCGATGATACCTTTCGTCAACAAATTTTTTTAAGCAATCCATAGCGGAATGTTGATCGATACTGAAAAATATAAAATAAATTTGTTTTAATAATTGAGTTTCATTCGTTTTTTATTATCGACTGAATGGAAAATAGTTTTGATGTTGAGATTTTTCGAAAGTTATTTTCGATGCATTTATTCAAATTTACCTGCGTAAAATCATAAACAATTCGGTGACGGTATGATTTGCATCACCCCATACTGATAATAGTTGCTCGGCTGGTGAGATGTGTTTATCCTGAGCCATTTTCATGATTTCCTGTATAAACATTCGAATAAATTATTGTGGGTTATTAACCGATTTTGCCATGTATGTGATTCATCGTTTTGTATATTTATATATTATATTATATTATATTTATAAACAACACACTCAGCAACGCAATCTAAAAAGATGGAACCGGTTTCGAAGAAAGGCGGAAAAATTAAAAATGTAATCGATGAAGCCACTTTTATCACATGCCAAATTATTATCAATATCCTATTTCTTTATAGAGAAACTAGTTATATTTATTTTAACTACTACACGTCAATTACTTATTTCGACATCGAATTCAATTCTATATTCCATAATTGAAATTATTTTATAAGTGGGCTTATCGAAATGTGCAGAAAAACTTATCGCATTGTTATTGTGTAATCGAAATGTTTGGAATTTCCTTCAAAAACGAAGTATGGATGAAAAACGTATGGTCATTCCTGGCTAATAAAATCCAAACGTTTTAAGAAATATGAAATCACCAATGCGAAGTAAAGTACATTTTGAAGAATATAGTCCATTTACAGAGAGATATCACAGTGCAAATTTTGCTGTACAACGATGAAATGCAATATATCTGCATGGCTTTTATCATGTGGTCAATTGACCGCATCACATTTTCCTATATGCGCACAATACAAATATGGTATTATAAACTCACCATTATATCGTTTAATGTGTATCCCATTTGTCGCGCTACTTTTTCCCACGCATTGTTCTGGTCAAGATGATAGCACAGATTGATGCGCTCATCCTCTGGAAGAGCACGTACATATGCACTCACGTCCATTGCTTCTTCTGTGCCTGATTGTGATTCACCTCGATCACTGCTCGAATTTGACGGCAATGTTTCTGCGCTCATTTTTTTTTTGGCCACACTTACTTAAAAATTCATACACGTACAACAAATTTTTTTAAATTATCCGAACTATGAGTAAGAATTCTACAGAACTGGATATTAAAACCACAACGTTCATCGCTTGTTAATTCGTCGATGAAATTTGATTCAACAACAAACAACGTCCAAATTAACATTCATAATTTCACCGCTACTCTCAACTATATGGTTTATTGCGGGTATTTATTTGAAGAATGATCGCCGAATTGACTTAATTTGACTTCCTTTATATTGCCTAGTATATGTACCTCTTATACGATATCTATTCCTTGTATTGTGTCTTGTGTGTACTTTTTGCGATTAAATTTTATGTTGACATTCCCATGTCATGTTATTGATTCACCAGCAACGAAATAACGAGTGTCAACTGTGATACACAGCACAGAACTAGTGATCGAACACCGAAAACAACAAAGACCGACCAATACTGTGTTGATCGACAGCGCCATGACATTTATTCTCTTAATTATTATGTACACATACGCACGACGGCTACTTACACACCAACAAATCACATATGATATTTTACGTATTCGTAATAAAAAGACTGGAACACGTTTGAACAAAATTCATAAGAAAATATATTAATTTGTACTTTAATGGTTCGAAGAACGATAATCAGATAGTTCGCAGAGAAGGGTTTTTAATGGAAGGAAGTATGAACGAATGGACAATGATAGAAATCCCTAAATCTTGTGACATAATCAGATTTCTATACCATCTTCTTCGGTAATTCCGATTTTTTTCCAAACCGCAGACAAAATGAAAAATGTTTCAATTTTAAAACAAATATCAGCATCCATTCGATCTAAATTTAATCTTTTTTTATTGAACTATTTAACAAAAAAAAACCCATTCATTTTGCATTGCAATTTATTTGGTTTGTTCATTCTCGACCGCTTGCAGTGGCTGTTTCAAATGTTCTGGCAATGCTAGCAATTCGACTTTGGTTGCTTTGAGTGCAACACCTTCGGGCAAATTTCGTTCGATATATTCCAAATAGGTTGATAATGTGGAACCGGTCAGCCGATGTAAGTCTATGAAATGAAAATATGTACGGACTTCGTATTGAACTCGATGCTTTTTGTGAACGAACGCCGATTTTAGTATTGTGTATCGTTCTTTATTGTAGGGCAATCGTGGTGTCCAGCTGTAAAATGAAAAAAAAAGAAGTTTTTTTTAGATGTTGAACTGAAAACTGTTATCGATTTGAAATCGTTGATCAGTACCTTTTGCCGACATCAATGCTCAAATGTTTAGCCGCTGATACTGCAAACTTCACATAGCTGTTAAGAACCATTTTATCATGGCCCCTCAATTCAATTTCGAGTCTTTTATACAATTTATCATCTTCTCCATCGGTGGCTGTATTTTCGGCTTTGACCTCAGAACTCGTTTGCACACTGTAGAATTGGGTTGATGGCACTGCATATGCAACATTCGGTCGAACTACCGACAATCGCGATATAAATTGCTGCATAATGAAATGAAATAAATGCATTAAATACAAGAATATCAGTGAATCGAGTTTAGGGATATAATCTAATGGACGGACGTTAAGCAAATGAACTCACACGCAGCATATTTTATTTCAATTTTCTAAATTTGTAATAAAATTTTGTAAAAAAAGGTTTGTTATTATAATGTGGTAAAGAAATTTTGAGGTTCGATTTGCAGCGAAACTCTGGTGGACGGAACATGAACCAACCACTGTCATCTTTCATATGTCAAACAATCGAAATATAACAAAGTAGCTTTCAAGTGCGTACTTTTCACTCCCAAGTGAAAATTACTGCAATCTGAATGTTGCTTTTGATTTGAATCAGTTGCATATGAAATGATATTTCTTTTATTCGATGAATAGAACGTGACGATTTCATGATATCGTTTATTTTTTGGTGGTTTTCAATAAAAATCTAATTGACAGCCACATTGATACTTGTTTCTGTCATAGCATCACAATTTCTGTCAATACTTTATAGAGACAAGAATTGCTGATAACAAACCTTTATCAGGAATCATATGTTCCAAACTATCAAATCAAACGATACCGCATAATATAAAGTTCTGTGGAAATATTTACTTTGTCAGTTACTTGAAATTACTTGCGGTTTCTTGCGAAAATGCACGAGTTTTCTATTGATTTAAACCAACCGAGTGCTTCGTTCACTTTAATACCTCCAAGTGTAGAAAATAATCCGGAGAGCGAAACTTCCGCTAAAACTTTAGACGAATTGATTCGCAACAAAATCAAGAATCAAAAACGATTCTTCGGCATCGAAATCTCGCCAGCATCAAGTGGAGAGGCATTGAATTACAATAAATTTGCTGTGCAACCATTATTTACTGCAGTTACCTGGCTCTTTGATCACAATTTAAAATATGGCTCATTTTCCATGGCACCGGCTGTTCAGCTTGGCAAGTTAGCGGAGAAATGTTCACCCGTGCTTATGCACTTGACCTGTTACCAACTACAACGGGAAAAGTTGCGTGAATTTCTTGACGTTGGGTTCACAAATATCTTGGCAATAAAAGGCGGTAAGTAATAGACACAAACACACCGATAATTATAAAGCTCCTATCCGAAGTAATAAAAACATTTTTGTTGTTGTTTTATAATTGAAAAAAAAAGATTCGAGTCATTCCAATGAAAGCCAACCTTGGACGTATGCCATCGATTTGGTGCGAGCAATTCGGGAAATGAGTACGGATGCAACAGTTGGAGTAGCCGGTTATCCCGAAGTTCATAGATTGGCCGAGAGTCGAGCCGATGATTTACAGCGGCTTAAGGAGAAAGTTGATGCTGGTGCCAATTTCATAATAACAAACACTTGTTTCTCGTTTGACCATTTGGCGGAATTTGTACGGTCGTGTCGTGCTATCGGCATTACGGTGCCCATCATCCCCGGTATTTATGTACCTTCTTCATATGCCGAACTTCATAAAATGTGTAATATATCAAAAGTTGATGTGCCACACGACCAAATGGAAATGTACGAACGCTACAAGGACGATAGACAACGTTTCACAGCCTATGCCATTGAAAATGCGGTTAACCTATTGACACAATTGTTTACATTCGACGAGTATCCGATCTTTGGCATACAGTTTTTCACACTAAATAAATACGAGCATATCTTCGAGGTTGTACGGAAATGTGATTTTGCAAATAAATGAAATGATTAATATTTAATAGAGACATACCCGTTCTATTGGTATTTTTGTATCGTCAGAGTGTATGAATGTCTTGTGTGTATGTATGTATGTGCGAAGGCGCTAAAATGAGCGAAGCACTTGGCGCGCGCCTACCTAAAACTGTTTTCATTTCAAATTACAACAATTTGTTAAGCATGTCGTAAAACATGAGGCAATATCATATTATTCCCGATATTTGAACAGAGTGATTCGAGAGGGGCAGAGAGCGTGTAAAAGTTGTGTGCTCGGTATTTGCTCACGTTCGACATCGCAATACACACTAAATCACCAAATGTAGTTTGCTTGAGAAAATGTTGAACGCGTGTGGAATGCTGGACTCCATCCAAATTGATGTGCGGTGCGCATGCTTGCCCATCCAATGCACATGAACTAAAAATACACGTAACGTGCTCACTTCGATATTTCGTTTGAGGAAGGAATGAAGGAAAAAATAAAATAAAAGAAAAAAAAAACTGGCTGGCACAGAGGATATTCCCATGCTGGGAAAATTTTCAATGAGTTCGCATTCAGTTCGTCAGCAGACAGGCTAATACACAGTCGACATTTATTTGTGTGCATATTGATTCATACAATTCACAGTTAAGAAGTCAGAGTTTAGAGTATAAGCGGAGACTGATACACACAAAGCGAGAAAGAGAGCATTGTTCTTCCGCTTCACTATATACTACGAAATTTTTGCGCTCAGCACGACACAGGAGCATTCACACTACACATATCATTGTGATGCTCATCTCATACGCGATTTCTAAATCTCACCTAATATTCTGAGAACGATTCGTTTCTTCACACTGAAAAGAAGCACACATTTGCACTAAATCAGCAAAAAAAAAAATAAAATTGTGGTCGTCAATCGTGAACGGAATATACACTTTTGTTGTTATCGGCGAAAAAGGATCTAGAGATTTATTGGTAGCTTTACGAGCGCGCCGAGAGAAAGAGAAAGAGAAAATTGTATGTAATGTAAATTGGATAAATGCACTTTGGGTGCACTAAATATACGGGGCGGAATAACACAAGGAATTTTCAATCGTGGGAACACACCATTTTCATGACGAACTATAAAAATAAAGCGCCAACATTATTGAGAGAAAATTTAAATTAGCTCTGGCACTGTATGTTTGCAAGGCAAAGCAATTTTCCGCTCATTCAATTTGCGCGCGATTCGGCGGATTTTTCATGCAAAAATCCATTGAGAAAATTCTCGTACACACCCGACGATTGTGGCATACGTATAATTGAGAAAAATTCATACAATTTGCTTATTTTTTTTCTTCTTTCGACGCTCCGCTGAGACGGACAGATAAAAATGCATTGCATAATTTACGCTATATAGCATCGCAACTGAAAGGACACACAAACGAGTGAGTTAACGCATAAGCGAGACGAGTGGTGTATTGGTGATAAAAACAGATGAAAAATGGGAAAACCGTGCTAGACATTTTGAGATGAAATACGTATTCTGTGTTAATGCATAATTCGTGTTTAAAGTAATTAAATCGTACTGTACCAACGATAGATGGCCATTTATCATATACACACAGCATACAATCGAAAATGTGCCTATGTAATATCTTGATGTAATCTAAACGGTTTTGGATTTTCCATTCAGCCACTAATGCTCTTTGTGTATACGTTTCCGTTTAATTTTCGAAATTTCGGTATAGCCGCCCAGAGATAAATGTTAGGATAGGCCACCACATATTTTATTGAATGGAGATACAAATATAAACAACCCCAGCAGATAGTTATCGTGTGTAAATTTGTTTCTCACACAAATGGATGATTTTGAATAGAACACAGCGTACCAACACAAAAGCCCATAGATTTATCGCCTCAATCTTCAAGCCGGGATATTATACTTTCCGTTTCCATTGTCAGTCATCAAATTGCAACGAATTAACGGATTAGCCAAATTAATTTCCATGCAAATTTTACATTTTCGCGGTCCATCTCTATCAAAAAAAAAATTGGCATTGCACACACGTCAACACGTCCACGGGTGTATGTGGTTGTGTGAATGAAAGCGAACGGGAAAATTGAGACGAGAAAAACCGAAAATTGTTGACAAACAGTAGCACTAAACGTTTCACACTGATGAGATCTGAAGCCGAGAAAGCCGTTGAATAATTTACGACGTGTTTAAAATAACACATAACTCAGTGGCTGAGAAAGCTGTAGAACATTTAACCAAGAAAAAAAAATAGAGAACACAAACTACCCAAAAAAATAATATGTGTACATAACCCAAATAATAAAATAAATGACGCATATGCACGGGCCACACATACAAATGTTACACAACTTGAACTCGGCATAGAAAGTTTGACTTGTCGAACAAATTCGAATAACGTGCATCCATTTGAATCAGTGAATTTAAGCAACGAACGTTTTTCATCCAAAATATTCAGCACAACAACGCAGCTTCAAAGATAAATCGACGGTATACAGTGAATTCAAAGGGAAAACAAATACAGGAGATTCACTTTGTTTAGCAACAATATTTCAAAGTTTGTGAACAATAAATCGAGTGGCGAAAAATCGGTTCAACGATAAATCCGGAACAACCAAGTGTTCGCAAAGAGAATCAATTTAACTTGAGTCAAAGCACAGGTAAATTCTCAATAATATTTTGATACGATTTCTACATATGTATGTGATAGAACCTTGTTTTCGGTTTTCGTGGGTTTTTTTTCTCTCCAAGAACATTTGTTACTCATTATTATTTTGACAAACCAGTTATTTGTTAAACTGAAATGTGATTTTAATTAAAGTCTGTCGTGGAAATGCGGTTTAGCAGCTATACACGCATTTCGACGATGGATAATTGGAAATGAAGAAATTGAACTAGAAATAGTAAATTGGTTTGGTTTGACTCTTTCCACTCCACAATAAGTCAAACCAATCAAATGCTCTATCGGTCAATTTCATTTTCAGCTTGAGTGAACTGTAATTTAGAGAGAACAGATACATTGTCAACCTCATGTAACCAATTTCAAAGCTTCTTCATTCCACATATCAATGATACCGACAAACATTTGTTAGCTACACAACAATAGAACGATTGCAACGACTAGATATAGAAATGTTCATTCAGTAGAGATCCTGATATACACAAAGACATACACACACACACACATATATATAAGAAAGCTCCGGAATTTACAGTGTTTTTCTTCTTTTTCTTTCATTTTCCACGATTGGTTGATATCCTTTTTTTTCTTCCAAACGTCGAACATCAAACATCAATGATTCCAGTTATTAAGGTTTTTTTTTTAAAAGAAAACCATGTCGATTTCAAATCTCTAGTCGAGATTGAACAGAACACACACAATCAATTTTCCAATTGAAATGTTGCGAGTTTTGTGCAGTATCGTAAGTGATTCTCTATCGTTCGAAAATAGCGTGAAATTGGCATTTGGAATGAAAACTGCATGCTTAATGAGAAGATGAATCTGATGCTCTATGTTTCTCTTTTTGGGAAAATGATGCTACGTTGACATCATGAAAGATGGCAATAATGAACAGCTCTTGGAAATTATCATATTATACCTACGCTTACGCCATTCAATATAAACGAGGCCAGTGACTTGTGCATTCTCGATATCTCTCACTCTCTCATATTCTGATTCGAATGACAATCATCTGACTCGATTTTTGTTCGTTTCGAATGACGTTCGGAGCACACCCATGTTTTATGTCAAGGATCAAGTCAAAAGCGTCAACGGAGAGAAAGAGAGAGAGAGAGATAGGGAAAAAAGCACTCTCATACCTTCTAGCTGCTTATACTTTGGCCACTTCAGAGAATTTCACTGGATTTTGCTTGATTTCTATTTTTAGAGCATCCAATGTGTTGTTGTTGTTGTTTTTTTTATGTTTCTTCTGTCATTTTGTGTATTCGAGACAACGAATTGGTTGGTGTGTGTGTGTGATAAGATTCTTCCTTGCACTTATTCCTCTTTTTTTCGCGATGAAAACAGCAATATCAATGTTGCTTATTCATGCACATTATATACAGACAACAAATAGAAAAAACATTGAAACCAAACAGCGTTCACAAAAAATGCAACGATTGGAGTGAGAGATAGAGAGAGCGAAAGCGAAAAAGTGGATAGAAAGTGAGCGATGAAAAATGTGACAAAAACAAAAACATATTGAAATGAAAACTGTGACAAAAGGCGGCATACAAATAGCAAACCGAGCCAACATTCGTTACGAGCGAGAGATAGGAAAAATGAGTTCGTGTCAGTTTGTGAGGCCTTTGTTTTTGTAAACTGTTAACGGAAAATGATGGGAAAAGCAAAACAAACAGAAACGAGAGCATCATCAGAGAGCGAGAACGAGAGAATAGGAAATAAAAACAAACACACACACACACACACACACAGTCGCGACTACCGAGGCAGCAGATAGGAAAACATCAAGCTGCCAAAACAATATGACAATTGCGTCGATGTCACACAATATTCATTCATTTTGCCCGCGCCGTATAATGATAATGACACGCTTTTCGCTGTTTTCGCTTGCCAATGAATTTTGATTTTCCATTTCGTTTCATTTTAATTAAAGTCGTAAACTGAATTTCATGTGACATTTTATTTCATGTGGCAAATTCTTTATTTGTCATTGATTTTCTATTTTCTTTCGCACTGAAACACGTTTCAATTTCTGCTCCTGCTACAGCTGCTCCGGGGCTTTTCCTTTTTTTCCGAGAATTAATTTTCGAATTTGTCGCCGTGAAATCAAGAATCGTTGAAGCGGTTTCCCGTCAAAAATTCATTCGAATCAACGTGTTTCGAAGGGAACATATTTGTACGGCAGTTAGAATGTAACGTTTTGCATGACAAATTCCATATCACCCCAAGCATATACAGCTATAACGAACATCCAATTTTAATGGAATATGCCGAGCTCGTGTTTAATGTATGCTAACGAGATGTGACCATTTAGAAAACAACTGGCACTAATCAATTCGTGATTTAAACGATGATTTATTGCTACGATAACCGACAAATGTTCCGGTGCCCATTAATGACGTCCGGAATTTACTACGGAATATTTTGTATTCACTTTCATTCTCTCTCTCGATCTCTATCTATCCATCTCACCTTGTGAGGAATGTGCAACATACCATATCACGGTACACTGTTTGCTAAGCTTAAGGCGACTATAAGCATAATAATAATAAAACATAATAATTTGATATAAATAACGTATTAGTTTTTCGACGTATATATCTATATGGACCTAAGGGACGTGATATTATCTTTGTGGCATCTGCGTTTTAGTTTTTGAGATTGCGCGCTATTGCATATAGGCTGTAAAATCATTCCAAAGTGATTTAAAAAAAATAATTTATTCAATGGGTCGACAAATTCGGTGGCAACAGACTAGATGTTGAATATCTAATATCGACACACCCGAGAAAGAGTCAAAATCACTTGAATTTTTGTCGACGATAAAGGCAAAAGATGACACGAAAATGTTTTGGTATTTAGAGCCAATGCAAACAATAAAAATGTATACCATTTTGACAAACAAGCATGCGAACACTGAACAAATATTCCTTCGTGTTTGGTGGTTCGAAGTTGGATTGGATATTCGGGATAGTTTGAATGAAAAAAAGGATTTTATGGGAATGAACATTTCTTTCTTTCAGCTTATTCAAATTCTTTTTTCTCGGCAACAGTCTCCGAGCTTTGACGGAAACAAATGCCCTCAACATCAAAACTTTAAATATGAAAAGAAAAAAAAAAAGCAGACAACACTGAATGCCTTTAATGCAAAAGGAGAAAATTCGTCAAATTCTCGTTTGCTCACAAGGCGAGCATTACTTTCATACGATATGCAAAGCGCTTCACACTTCTTGGATTAATTCACTTTCCAGCTGCAACTAACGTTAATTCCCTAATCTAATATTAATTAGCTGGAGAAACAATGAAGCTCAGAATTCTGAATGCAAATACGACCAGTCGACGTTATAATTTCATCATTCGCACAAATGAGACGAACGAGAGAGAAAAATTCCATGAAATTTAAATTACACCGAAACAATTTACAAACATGAAAGGTTTGGGTAATGGAGTTGGCAAATTTTATTAAATTCCAAGTTTTCGACGGGTCAAAACCAAAAACTGCTTCAAAAAGATTGTTTTTCTCTCTTTTTAGTGAATTTGAGATCGGAGCGACTTGAAATTGCTGGAATCGGTAATGAATGTTTGTACAGAAATACCAAGAACACGGTACCAGTTATGTTTTCGTCTTCTTTTCTCCCTTATTCTGACATTGATTCAACAAAAACTTTTCCCATATCATCTGGCTGACAGGAAAAGCTCCACTCTCTGCCATCCACGACCCTGTCCTAACATATTTTCACTTACTTCTAATGATATTTCATCGTTCGATTTGCGGTTTTTGCACAACTTTGCTACACTCAATTTTCACAAAGAAATGAAAAAAATGAAGAACAGTTATTGTGCGCCGAAGAAGCGATAAGTACTTTTTCTTCGCTTGTAAATAAGCGCAATTATTCAATGTGAAATGCGGGAAAAGTTTCGGTAGATGAGAGAGAGAGAGAGCTCATATATATTTTCACTTTTTTTCGTGAATCTTTGCAACGATATGATTATTTGAAACATTTTGGTTGGAGTGGGTGAAATGTGTACATTCACAGCTTGTCTGTCAGTTGTCTAATTATCTCATTCATTAACTCGCTAGTGATTGGTATGGATTGTGTGAACATGTTGCAAAATTGTGTTCATGGCCATTGCAAAGAATAATTCAGTATGACATGAACCGATCCGTTAATTGAACATGTCGTTCAAATTTTGTGCGAAACGATGAAAATGAAATTATTCTGTTGAACGATATGCACTTGGGTGTGAACAAGATTTTGCTAACGATTTTATTGCAATCAGTTTGTTTTCGGTTCAACCAAACCATCATGTTAGATTCATTTTATCGAATGGCAACGACGTCACCAGAAATCAAGAAGAAAAAAAAGGGGGTTTCAAACTGTCAAACACCAATACACTTCATTACACCAACAAATTATAACCTTGTCGAAGTTTTTGTTCATGCCCCATCCAACTTTTTTCCCCGTTTTTTACTCGACGAAATGGAGCGATTGGCTTTGGTGAATCGCAATATACATTTCGGCCGTGCTTCAATTGCCATGGAAAACCGGTAGAATTTGAAAATTTTCACTTATATTTTACTTACATTATATCATCAATATATGCATGGGGTCAAATGCGCACTTCAATTCAACGGTTCCGCTTGAAAATCTCATGCGTAAACAATGGCTGCTTCTGTTCTGATTATGCATATATTTCACAGTCGTTTCGAGGGAAATTGAATTAATTTTGAAAACAAAAACATCAACGATGCGTAATCAAAACAAACATACGCACATTTCCATGGTATTTCATAAACGATTTCACCCATAAATCGATACTCATAAATTTGGAAAATTCAATTTGCAGCTTGTATGTATAAGAACATATTTAAAAGATATCGAAATTGTGTATTTTTGTTCGTTTCGCATAGATAAGTTTCCGTGTACGTTCCACAGAAATCAATTTGGTAAAAGGAGAATTCGCATTGAAAATGCGTTTTAATTAGAATTGATTATAAGTGGGTGCAGAATGACGCTCGTTCGTTGGTTCGTTCGTTCGAATGGATTTTCAATTGATTATTATTATTCGAGTGGTGCATGAAACAAGTATTTTCATTATGAAAGCACCATCGCCGTTCGTTCGTTCATATTTCATACGTATCACTTCATCCGTGAATACACTCAAGTAAATGCTCGATTCACAAAAAACCCCATCGGCAACATCGTCGCGTCTCTGTCGAAAAATACACTCAACTCAAGCGATAACCTGAATTAAAAATTAACAAACATATTAAAATTGTCTCAAAACTCGATAATGAACGTTCAAGTCAACCTTCGTCACATGCCGATCAGACAGTCGCTGCCGTTGTTGTTCTTGTTATGATTTCGGTCCGACTGAAAAATTGCAAAACGCTGAACTTATTTCAAAAGAAATAAATGCTGATCGAATATATGCATCGAAACAAAGAAAATCAATTTTTAAACAAGTTTACTGAAGAGAAAATATGAATACGTTGCGTATTTTTTATTATGTGGCATTTTCCAAAGTGACCTGATTCGATAGGTTTTTCATAAACATAATTTTGTTTTCGTCGGGAGAAGAAAGCAAAAAAAAATAGTTCAATCTTTTCTGGTTCACTTGCTGTCTCACTCACAACATTTTCCACCATTTCCATTAATTTCCATGACGGAATTTGCTTTACTCATGTAAATATTTACATTTGAAAAATGGTTCATACAACGAGCGAGCGCATCGCAACGCAGTAAATGTATCCACAAGTTTTAGTGCACACAAAAAAAAAGTCATAAAAAAAACCAAGTAACTACCGTATAGAGAGATATAGTTTGAAAATGGGATTGGCAAACTCCTAGTGTAAAATATGTGCAAGTGAATATTTGAAAGAAAGAAAAAACCAACCGCACCATGCCGACGTTCAAAATTTGCGTAGGTACGCGATGCAAAAGAAGAAAAAAACCGAGACAAAAAAAAAATCGGTAATAATTAAGGCCAATAAAACTGTATTCAGATTGAATTGAATGGAGTAAAATGAAAAATGCAAATCTGATTTAATTCTCATTCCAATGTATTTCATATAGAAAAAACTTCGAAACTATTACAGAAAAATTATGATTGTTTGCGGGCAAAAAAGTGAAACACAAAACAAACAGAGGAATAAAAAAAAAGCGACACAACTGAAGAAGAGTGCACGGAGAAATGTTCGCTGAAACAAAGTCACCAGTTGTGGTTTTTAATGAGTTGCATTTTATGTGACTATCCGGATCGTTGTTTGAATAGGAACCGTGCGTATCGTCTCGAAAAGTAATTACCATTGCCGTTACCATTATTCGATTCGATCGATGTTGCCAATGATTTTTCCTGAGCATACTCTTTTCCACTTGTGCGTCGATTGACGTCGGCTATTGCATTCCGTAGATGCGGCGGTGGCGTTTGCACTTGCTGCTTCTGATACTGTACGAATGCGCTCTCGTTCGATGCCTCGGTATTGCTATCGGGTTGGTATTGTTGTTTGGTGGTTGCATCGAATTTCTTTTTAAAATTGATCGGACGGAAACCGTTTCGATGTGTTGTCAAAACGCGATACGATGTGATTGGTTTTGGTGTTGTGGTGGTGGTCGTTGAGGTTGTTGTTCTCGGAGGGGATGTTGGTATACTTTGTGTCGTACTGAAATCCTCAATTATATCATCGTAGTATTCATATTCGGTGGTGGCCGTTTCCGGTTGTCGATCAGCCGCTGATTTGGACCCCTGACCATTCGCATTATACTGAATGTATTGACCAGATACACCAAAATGGCTAATGCTTATGGTTAGCACCAGGAATGACACAAAAGCTACGTTATTCTGGAAACGAGATATCAAAAAAAAAAGAAACAAACAAATAAGTAAACAAAGCAAATTTTTGTCATTTTCTTCAGCATTAATAATCATGTTTAAGTCTAGTAAGCCACGCAATGTGATGCTGTGTGGATCAATGGCGTATTATGTCATCAACTCCCCATTCAAAAGTTAAATAATTAACTATTCTTATATATATATATATAAAGGCAAAATAGAATAGGAGTTTCGGTCTTGAGTTTGGATTTGAATAGAAACGCAACAGAAACAGGTTATTTCGACACTGAAGCAAAGCAAAACAAAGAGCTCAACTTAATTTATAATCACAGTTAAAATGTTTTAATTGCTTCGATTGATTCTGGTTACGTTGGATTGAATCGTTTCCAATATGCCTATTGCGATGTTAAGCAGGAGGAAAAAAAACCGAAACAAATTTTCTTGAAAGATTGTTAAATAGAAAAAGAAGTCGTTATTTTGATCGAGAATCCATCAGCACAGCAGATTGACTCACTGTGTGTTGATTTCACAAACAAACCGCGCGTTGCTTTCTTGTTGTATGACTCTTTGTATGCAAAGAGTCGACGATAGAGTGAGATTCCATTGAAAATCCGCGGTGATCGATTGGAATCGTGCCCAATATTTTGCGAAACTCTAGGCATTTATCGGTTTAAAAAATCTCTTGTTATTCACTTTAATTAGATGGATTGTGTGCATACAAGCGTCTAAGTGCGATTCCATTTCTAATCGATGTAAATTCACAACCGTTCGGTTGCTGGAGAATTGGTGCAAAGTTGAGCGGAGAAAAAGCGTGTATCGGATCTTAAAATCACTTGAAAAAAACGCGCAAGAGCGTTTGCCATTTAAAAGAAAAATGGTAACATTTTGGAAAGAAAGCAAAACACAACGAATGCTTCGTGAATTGGCTCAATTATAGCGAAACTATGTGAATAATATGTGAACAATAAATTTAAAGGCTATTCATTTTATTTTATCACATTTACGGTGCAGAGCGCGAAAAAAATTTCGGAATATTTTAAAATTTTCATTTGGGATCGTGAAAACAGAATAGGACGAGAAATTTTTGTGCTAAAGCATCAAATTAATTTACCATTTTTTCTCTCGTTGTTGTTCTTTTCCTCCTCTCACTCACTTCTGTTGTTCTTCACAGCAGTTGTTTGTATTTATTTTTAATTTCTCTTCGCTCAGGCTGATTACAATTTTGTTATAACAAAGTTGTTTGGCTTGGCAGAAGCGCTCGTGTTTTCATTCACTTTAATCTCAAACTAATTTATTTGAATACACACACGAATATATTGTCTATATATTTCATTTAATTGTTCATAAATAACGTTTCGTTCGCGGTTCGGTTCTTAAAGTTGCGCAACAATTGCACTGCATACCAAGTCGTTCACAGGGCTCTTTCGTTTGCGTAGTTTTTTGTTTTCTTTCGCTAAACTTTTCTACGCTCTATTAGTTCAATTTTAATGAAAATTTATGTAAAGTAAATCCCAATTGTAATCTTTGTGTTTGTTTTAACTGCTTTAACGAAAATCGTTCACTCTCACTCATTCACTCACTCAAGAATCTGCTTCTTATATGGGGAACTTTACGAAACACTCAAATAAATGACATATTGTCTGCTCGAGCATAGAATAGCACCCGGAGCATTTCACCTTCAGATCGAAACTGAACAATATCCAAACCGTATGCGCGCTTCACTGAAAAGAAGCAAACAACAGAAAAATAAACGTGTTTCTACTTCACTAAATAATCTTGTGCGTAATTCACAGAAGATTGTTTTTTTCGCCGTTTATTGTGGGATACCCAGCAACATACGATGTCTATATCCACAACGAAGAAGGCAACGATGGCTACGATGTTGTGTGCTTTGTTGTTTATTTTTGGATAATTCTTTTTCCTGATCTTCTTGTCAAGATTGTCTCATTTCGTTTTCGGTATCCTTCAGATCCAAGTTCCTTTTATTCTCGCTTATTCTTGCCTCCAGTATCCCAAACCGTTTTTCGATAACAATCGCATGTTAAACACTCACTTTCGATTTCAGGTAAATACGATCTTTAATTTTTTTTTTTATCGTTTGTATGCTCATATACACAGTTCTTATTTTTTTTCCATTCGCGAGATGCTTATGTGCTCACCACTTGATGTGTTTCTTTTTTATTGGGTCGTGGTACTTAACAGATGTTGAGCGATTTTTGTTGAGCAACCTTTTGTTTCGTTTGCTATCCCTGCGATGACTGTCAATTCGAACACTTGTACTGCTCCGTTTGCGCGTTAACAAATGACTTGTTTATACGTTTATTTTTTTTTCTCGCAACTATCTTGTTGCCGCCGCCATCAGTAGTAGTACCTGCAAGTGGAGAGAAGAAGCAAAAAAAAATGTGTATCAAAGAAAACGAAAAGTTGAAACATTAAATTGAATGTGCGATTCGCGACTGCTACAGGGTGCCACTTGACGTTGTGAATGATGAAGGTTCCACTCGAAACCAAAAGAACAACACACATGGTGTCTACCTTTTTTTTCTGCCATATTCGCCCCCGAAACTGACACAGTACATATTTATAATTTTGCGGATGGCATGACATGCCATCATGTCACAGTGCATTGATGCAGAAACACTCTGTCATTTGTGAAATGGATCAAAAGACAAATGAAAATGAAGCGAAAAATAAGAGTCAACTTTTGGTGTGCGTGTATTGAATGCCGTTTTACTCTAGATTTAAATTACATGTGCGCTCAGCTTCGGTATGTGTGTTGGCGGGCAATGCACATACCATGTGCATGTGTCAGTATGTGAGTGTGTGAAAGAGATTATTTATTTGAAGTCAAGAGAATGCGAAACGATCAAATGCGCGCACCTTAATATTATTTCACTTTTATTTGTCTTTTATGTTTTCCATCGTGAAGCACGTCGAATGCACAACAATGAATATGAATAATAAACATCGCAAATTCACAGCGCATTCGCACCCAACAGTAACCATTCACCATTTCTTTTTTTTCTTTCGAACTTTTCTTTCGCTTGAAATTGCACGATTCCGTTTTTCCATCGCGTGTGCAACCAACAACGTTTGGTGCAAGTGAATGAGGTAATTTGATAACAATTTTTTTGATACACACACACACATATTATTTACATTCACAGTCGTAGTACAATGCAGAGCAGAGTACTGAGACACTTTTTGTCTGCAATTTTACGAGATCAAAAATATTTTAGTCATTTATTACGTACAACCGTAGATTGACGAGAAATGGTGACTTATTTATACGAAAACAACATTCGACAATTCCAGACGACAATTTGGTCCATTCGGTACAAGCGAGCAACAAGACGTAGTATAATAAAGTGTGTTGTCGATGTTTCGATTGAATTGCAGCCTGAAGAATGAGCTCATTCAATGTGTATTTTATCACTTTTAAACAAGCCACCGTTGCCCTAGCTGTTGTATATTATGCATGTAAATGAGAAAACTGGTTGAGATTTACGGGCGATTTCAATGTGTTTGGCTGTTTTACTCGTTTTTTTTGGTTACGATCTATGCTTTATCGACCGGCAATTATATGGTTCATGTGAAAATTTGTTTTATTTCGCGCGTAAAAACGCGCATACCAAAATGTAATTACATTGCATTGGCTCAGGTGTGGCCTTGTACATTTATGCGATACTGTCTCTTCAGACATGCAGCAATAAACGCACAAATGCCCATAAATAATGGCGAGAGAAAAAAAACATTGTCTGCTTAAATAAAAACTGACAATTGGTTACTGCCCATTTTTCAGCTCAATATTCTCTCCAAACAGAAGGTTCTTTTTTCATCTCACTGTTGATCGCTGCTTAAAGGATGATTGCTGCTCATTTCAATGTCCATTTTGATGGGCTTGTTGATTTTTTTCCCTCTTGTAATTCCTTTTATCTATTTATGCACTTGCCGCAAGCCGCAGCTTGCCGTAATATGATATTCTTTACACAAAAATCTCATCACCAATCTGTTAAAAAAAAATTACGAAAAAAACGGCGAACAATTAAAATTGATACACCATCTCGATGCCATTATTGGCGGTGGTGCGCTTGAAAATTCCGAAGAAGTGAATACAAATCGAATCGGTTCCGTATTGTTGTTGTTTTTTTTCCTCTTCTTTTCAAAGCCATGGCAAAGTCAATAACAGTCGTTGTAGTTCAACATCACCATTGACATCGACATCAATTACATGGAAAATGGAGGAATTTCCGAGAATCGACGAAAGAGAAAATTGATAATTATTATGTGCCTTATCGTTGTGGTGCATCGCATGGCATCAAAGTTCAGCCAATCTATTTATTGCTTTCGATGGGCCAGCACAATTTTATTTTTTCGTCTGTTTGTTTTGTTGCTATTTTGACCCATACCGACCCGATTATGTGTGTGTGTGTATGTGCCATGTGCGATCGATTAAATGATAAATTGAAACTTGAGTAATAATGAGTTTGGAGTCAATTGCACGCACTTTAATGTTTAAACACAACCTATTCAGCCGCAATCAAGTGCAACAGCAAAATAAAGTTAAACCTAAAAACCCAATCAAATTATAAATTACACCCATTATCATCACCATCATCCCGGTGGACGTGCAAACGTCACAGCAAGAAAAAACCGATTGCCATTATGCAAACATGAGGAACTCTATTTTTGTTTTCGAATGAAATTTTCAATATGCATTTACTGGAAATGCGCTTTAATAACAGCTCTGTGAAGCATGTTTGGCTGTGTGCTTAATGTACTCAACAGTCATATAAGCCTTTGTAAAAAAATGTAAATACCTCTAAATTAACATTGTACCCATTCATTTGGGATGAATTCCATTCAAATTCAGTTTGACCTTGCAATTCGGAACCGATTCCATCAGAATTTGCCACAGCATTTTGGGATGCAATCGAATTCGACGTATGTATCGCGCACGTATGTGTGTGTTTGTGTTTTTTTCACTCTCTCACCAGTTGATGGGAGACAATACTATTCAAGCAATATTATTCTGCACAAATGAATAGCAATTTCGAGAATGGATTGATGGGTGCGCGTGCGGGTGGGTGGTTAGCTGTACCGCTTTCGCGGATTTCGGTTTTTTGACTTGTCAGCAATGCTGAAACCACTCATCGGCATTCATCGAGCAATTTTGGATTAAATTGATTTTCGCCGCTCTCATGCACATGGGAAATTGATAAAAGCTCACGATAATGCATCGTATAAAATTTGACGCATGTGAAACAGATTTTACTACACCAAATTTTTCACTCGCAAAACAAAAATACACACACACTATTCCTACATTATTTTCTACGTACTCATTTAGGCCTTTTCTCTATTTTAAATATAAGCTCGTTAGCTTTGGAATAAGGTGAATTGAATAGCTAATTACGATATGTGAGGCAAGAGAGATAGAGAAAAAGAAATTTCGCGAAGCCCACTGCGTATACATATGTGAAAAGCACGTACAAACCGTCGAAGGCAAATGTGATTGATCAACAAAACAAACAAGCGAATGAACGAACGAACGAAAAAAGTGGTTGGTTACTTATTCAAAAAGCAGTGCGTGCATTCATACAATCCGTTTTTTTTTCGAAGCTGATTCATCATCACTTCTGCATTTGCAAATTAAAACAAAATTGATGCAAATGCAAATGGAAATACATGAAAATTAAAATGAAAACTGCAGATGAGCCTCGTTTACACTGGATCGGTAATGAAGCAATAGCATAAAGATGATTGGCGTAGGATTTTACTTAATGAAATATACACATTCAAACGCGCTTGGATAGTCTTGGGATTGAGTAATTTTCAAAGCTATTCACTTTCCCTGGCCTTAGATGCCAGTGTGAATCATATGCTTACCTTTGCCTCGAATACACACATGCTTTTTTTTTGTATTCGACACAGTGGATCAACAGTGACTGCACCCAGCAGAGTCAAGATATTTTCGAGTCTATTGTTAATAAAGAACGTATAATCCATAAACTGCACAGCAAATACACATTAACCCGTGTGGATGATGCTGAGGTTCACAGCTGCAACGGTTCATTATCATTTTCATTCGCATTCAAATCATGTACGTGGTTATTATTATCTCACAAGAAGCAATTTCGTATTGTGTTTAAACGCAAAAAATCCGAAATATGAAACCAGGTGAAAGAAAAACGCGGCTGCACAAATTGAATACTGTATATAGTGTGCTCTCTACCCACCGAAAAAAAGCACACACACACACACACACACACAGACCGAATATATATGCCAACTGATTTGCTAACCTTTGTTTAATAATTCTAGACAGCGACAGAGCGCATACATTCACATTTAATGTCTCATTCACTCACTCGTTCGTTAGCTCTTTTTTTCCTCTTCTTCTTTTACTCGCATGCGAGCAGTCAGTTAACTTTTTTTTTCTACTCTCTACCTACTTTATCACGGTAAATATTTCGTCGACGTGCCGTATTCAGAGAGAGAGAAACAAGACCGCAGAGCTTCGCTTCGCTCCGCTCTCCGTTCTTGAGTTTTTAGTTACTTAATCTATTTTGTTGTTTCACAACAAACTATTTTTTGGCGCACTACATGAAATGTATTTCATCGGAGTAACTTTGATGTAATATATTTATTTGCAAAATGAATTACAAGATCTTGGTTTTATTTCTTTTTTCTTCAAATATACTGCCTTTGGTTTAAATTAAATAAAAAATATGAGCATAGAATTCAAATTCACCATAATTTGTTTCAGTTTACTCAAAAAGTATTAAGACAAAAAGAAAAGAGCAGATAAGTAGCTCTACATTTCATGTAGTGCTAAAAATGTATGCGATGGCAAAAGTTCCATTGAAAGAAAAGGTCGAAGGGAAAAATGTTATTTCACGTTAAATGCCGATAAAAGCCGCTTATTGGAAACGCATAAAAGCGCAAAATGCCCATAAAATATAAATATCATTTTATTCTGGCCGTGATGATTCATGGTCGTTGATAGTAATAATGCGCAGCGTGCAGAGTAACAGCGACATCAATGGCACCAACATCGACCATAAAATATGCGATATTGGTGGAAGTTAAGATAAAATTGATATATGAACAATTTCACTTGAATCGGAAACGAGATCATCCGGAAATAATCGCCTTGAATGGCGTGACTCGCATCTTCTCATCATCTCATCTAAATACGTTGATAATACACGATGCATACAGCCCGCTTTCAGCTCACGATTAACTCCATCAATTTAATTGTACGCCAATGATTAACTCATTTTAACATCCTGAACTTCAGACGGTATCGATTGCGATAGGCATTCTAGCTAGAACCCACTGTTGTGGGAAAATTAATCCTTCACACACTAATTAGCAAATACTGTCGAATTATCTTCGCCAAACTTATGTAAATTATCGCTTAAGTTTTCAACATTTGAATGTAAACTGACACCTAAACCGACAACGCTCAAGACACATGCTCACTCAATGCTGCGATGTTCATACGGAGTGTCTGTTATTCGGTTATTATAAAGCAATTTCATAGACAATGCGGATCAATTTGAATTTGAATTCATTATAAGTAATCATTTAATTTATGGGCGATAAATGAATTTCGAGAGGCAAGCAACCGTATATTAATGGATTTATGGAACGTCGATGATATTTTCTCGCTTCCAACAGGCAGAAACGACGGTGTCAGACAGCGGCCTCCTGAGAAGCGGTTATCGATTTTCATACATTGGCATTATCTCAGCACATTCAATTGCTTAAGCCCAAACAAAACCCATTCTTTACAGAAGACTATCGGCATTTTATTTTCCTGTGTTATTTTCCACATTCTTTTCTATTCACAAGACAAATATAAACATACAAATAAAAGTAATAAGTGTGCGTGTGCAAAGCAAATATCGAATGTTCGTGGTGACGTAGAAGTAAAGTAAATTCAATTTTATTTATTGAATTTTCCAAAAGCAGCGTTTCATCCATCCGAACGGCCCGTAACCCCGAATTGTTTGTCGAACGGATGGATATTGCCATTTTCATCCATTTTCCATTTCCGATCGCTTTTTCACCGTCAAAGCTTACACTTGACTTTTTCAACAATTCATTAAGCTTCTTTTTCCGTTCTGTACACGGATTTCATATATCGGTTGTTTGCCACTTGGTTGATAGCATTGACGCCACATTATGCTATCTGCCATCGAATATTATTTCCATTTTGATTGTTGCAGTGATAATTCAATGGTTTTGCGCCGCAGCAACCGTGCAAATGATTTCGTTAACGTGTTAAACGTTTATTGCACAACCATTTTTCGGTTCTTATCTTTTCGCGGTATAAATGGCGCTACTTGATGAGCACACAATTTCATTGGACGTTCACGTTCAGTTGAGCACAAGTAGAAAGCACCC